CCTGAAACTCATCTGGCTCTGTTCGCGGACGATACAGATATTTACGCGACAAAGAAACACGGACGTCTTGTTCTCTGCAAACTTCAACGTGGCCTCACTGCAGTGAATTCGTGGTGTATGCGCAGAAACATGAAGATCAATGAACGGATAACTTAGGCGGTCTATTCCTCCAGAAGACTTAAGATTCCTTGACGACGTACAAAAACTAAACGGACGAGACATTCCCTTTATAAATAATGTAACACATCTCGGTGTCACTTCGAGATGAGGGTGACATGGAGACACCATATTGAAAGGACTGTAGCCAAGTGCTTGCGCACGTACATAACGGCCTATTCTCTATCCAAAAGTGGGAGTTTAAGTAAGATAACGGTAAAGTTGTCCCTGTGCTTAACTAATTAAGCACTACGCCATGAAGGCGTATGGAGGAGTGGATGTATAGATCCACATTTTCTTGACCTAGGCATTAGCTGGAGGTGAGTGGTCAGTTTCATGCCCCTGGTGCCCAATGGATAGGTTGGATGGACCCCAGAACCGTTCTGGACAACGTGGAGAAGAGAAAATTCTTGACCCTTCTGGGACTCGAACTCCGACACCTCGATCGTCCAGCCCGTAGCCAGTCGCTTTACCTACAATGCTATCCTGGTGTTTAAGTAAAAATCTTAAGCTTACGCTTTACACAGCTCCGATTAGGTCAGTTATGACTTATGCCTGTCCCACCTTCGATTATGCGGCGGACGTTCACCTCTTGAAACTGCAGCCCCTGCAGAACAAGAGCACTCCGCGCTACCGGAAATGTTGACAGGCACATACCGGTCCACGAATTGCACATGGTTTTCAAAATTCCTTACGTGTATGACTACATAACTAAATTATGCAGGACAGTGGTAGAAGTAAAACTAAACAATGTAAATCCAAATGATCCAAACGAATGGACAATGAGAAGCCATATATGCGAAGTATGAGAGGCTTAAACTTGTCGGCAGTTAGGCCTACGATCGTTGACTAAATGCAGTTTCAGAGTAGTTACGTAAGTTAAGACATACCATGCTGCACAAGCATGCAGTGACAGAAAACCTCTGTATATCTCGTATAAAGGTTACTTAGTATATGCAGTGACAAAGGATGCACAGAGTCCTTAGAGACCCGGCAGCCATGACAGTGAGTCTATACTCGCGCTGAAACTACGATGCAACAAATGTAGCGCCTACACAGAAACACCGAACCCTTCCTCGTCGAAGAGGAGGCCCCATTTCGAAACATGTACATGTCTAGAAGAGAACAAAACTCTTGGTCATGGATATCAAGGAGACTGAAGACATGAACGACTGTGCTGGCCATAACTAGGAGCAATTTAACAGACCGACCGATCGTTCTTACTGAGTGAGCCGAGCCCCATGCTGATGCTGGATCCAATACTTCCACCGTAGCCCTGTCAGTCGTAGAAGACGATGAAAATGGAACCCGGTACTGGGAGGTAAAATTTGGCCATCCTGTCACTGTGGAACATAAATACAGGAACCTGGTCCTCAAGGTTGGGGGGAGAGTCTGAAGGCTCACAGAGCCGTCAGAAAGTGAGGTTTGGTCATAAGTCCCACGGGACTTGGAACCAAAAATCGCTGTGCTGGTGAGGGCTAGCAGTAATTTAGCAACCAGTTAAGGACCGAGTTACCTACGGTGCAAGAAGCGTAGAACTTACACGGGAAAACCGACCCCTCCCCTGGTCGAAGAGAAAGCCCCACTTCCAAAACACGTACATATCTAGGAGATAACAAAATGTTGGTCATGGATCTAGGCGAGACTCGAGGCCAACATTGTGCTGGCGAGGGCTAGCAGCAATTTAGAGGACCGACTGTCCGATCGTTCTTAGTGAGTAAGTTAACCGGCTGACAGACCTTTCTTAGCGTGTTAATGAGGAATAGGAGTGAGTTAGAGAACGAGAGAGAGAGAGAGAGAGAGTGTGTGTGTGTGTGTGTGTAGGAGAGGGCCAGTTACTTAGTGAGTGCCCACTCGAGTCACCCCAGTATGAGGGGAGTGACCAGTAGTAGTCAGACACCTTCTCTCGCTGAAAAAGAGGACCCATTTCAAAACACATTTAAGTTTTAAAAAGATTAACATGATCATGGGTCTCGTCGGGACTCGAAACCAAGGATGGAATGATGGAGCCAGAATAAAATCGTCCGCTGTTAGGTGACGGCTAGATAAACAAATAGATACGCGCGCAACAATAGAAGAGAGTCTTGGAAGAGGTGTTTTCTATGTGGCCCGTGCTGACGTTTTATGATGAGGCCATCGACAGCCAGCCATAGTTAGGAGTAGTGGCCATGAGTTATTTGTGAGATGGTAGCCAGCCGATAACGACGTTAGTACCAGGGCACAAGAATCTCCATTGATGGAACCGTTACCTAGTAACGACTAGTGAAGATATAGAATACCTTATAATGTGCTGCTGTACAGTGATTTGTAGAGTGGGTAGATCCGTGAAAGTGTTACAGTACCTGTAGTTACGAGTTATAAGCGTTCAGCAAATCAAATTATCAATCCCAACTCCGTGTCTAGTCACTAACACGTGATAATATTTTATGAAACACCGGCAGGTCGTATTCTACTTTATGAATATGAAACTTGGACTTAAAGAGAGATAAACACGAGATATTTTTTTTAAAAATGTCATTTTTAAGAGGTACCAAAAGATGTACTCAATTGGACAGAACAAAGGACAAAAATACTATTATAGAAGAACTCAATATATTCTCATAAACATGTAAGCTGTACTTTTATCTATTTATGTGGCCAGAACGTGTCAGAGGAAATACACCAAAATCCACTTCGAGCTACCTTGCAGGAGGAAGAAGAGATATTGGCAAACCAAACAAATGTTGGACTGAAGCCGAGACAGGGTACTATAAATGCCCGTAACCGGATGCTCTATGAGTGCTGGGAAAATGATTTTGTATTGTGTTACGTTGGAGCACAAGTATTCTGAAACACCAAATGTTCCTCTAGTCTAACAGGAGCCTCCACTCTCAAAACACCGAAATAATCCACGAAATTGAATAAAACTACGGTGAACTGTCCTAATGGGGCTCGAAAACAAGAACGACTCTGCTGATGAAGAGCATCAGCGAGTAACTGCCTGGAACGTAAATCTATCCTTGGAAAGCGAAAGAAGAACAAGAGACACAATGGTATGACTTCTTTTATTCTTTGACATAAATTGTAAAATCTGCGTTCAGCCTTCCAAAAATGTATTTTGGGTTGCAGGCGATGGCATATGATACGACTCTCTATGTATGCAATATTTGAAATACGTATATGGGCAATAAAGAAAACAGCGGTTCCTACGATATGGTTGCTAAGGACATTCATACACACACAGGAGCCTGAATTTGGCAAACCTGAAAATTCACATTATGACATTCTACGTCATGGCACAATATAGTCTGACAAGTGGATACTCCAGCACCATAGATAGCAGTGACGTTCCCTATCTTCGTCTATGTGAATGATAGGGTAATATCCGAAGTATAGGCCTATTGACTTCCTTCCCCTCTAAAGGCAAAGTTGTCTCCATGATTAAGCAGTAAGCCATGAAGACATACTGCGGAGTGGAGGTAGGCTATAGCTCCACCATACTTGACCCCGGCACTAGATGGACGTGAATAGTCAGCTTAAAGCCCTGGGGAAATATTCCACGGTACCCACTGTATAGGAGAGCGGTTGGGCCCCAGAACGGGTCTGGAGGCTGTGGAGTAGAGAAAAATCTCTTGCCCCTGCCGGGAATCGAACCCTAGGCTTCCAGCCCGTAGCCCACCGCAATAACGACCAATGCAAAATTCGCATTGCACAATAACCATACATTATTTTTTAACGAAAAATTTGCCATATGCAGAAATGGAACGGGTGGGCATACACTATATACTATTCTACAAAATGAACCAATAAACTTTCTCAGTTCACGACTCCCTCGCTTTCAGTAAGAGCCTGTTTTTGTTCCAGATTGCTTTAGGACGTACCGCTGGTTATAGTCAAGGGCCCTGAAGTAAATACGCCTGACATAATTAGCTGCTTTTGTAAACCGAGAGATAAAAAAGTGAGGAAAACTCACACTTACTGAAAAAGTCGAATATTAGTAAACTACCTTCAAGTGGCCATAAAAGACTTGCTGTTCACGAAAATATCTTCCATCACTTTTAGCAGCAAATAATTGAGCAAATCTCTGAACTTGTATTCTGGAAATCCAGGAAGATTGCGAAGTCAGCTGGCATGCAATGATATTCTTGTTGCCTCTTAGGCTTCCTGGACATGACAATAGCTCTAGAAAGTAATAAGGAACAAGACTATTCTCCTAGTTTTCCTTAGTATCTTCTGGAGAACCTAGTGGCAGGTACTGAACATGCAATTTCTTTTGTTATATTCGTTTTCTCTCTACGAGTACCGGCTGTAATTTAAAATATAACTGGAAGATTATCTATATAAGTTTTGTAATTCACGCACATCCTAATATCTGCAGAAAATTGGTTAAAACTACATAGAAACGATTATACTATTGTATGTCATTAAAAATACGAAAAGCTGGATGAACAGCTCATAAAATATGCCTCATTCTCATCTGGTAGAAGAGGACTTGGGGCTTTAACCGTTAATTCCAAAAGAATCTCACTAAGATGATGGTCATTGTATTATCATCATCAATCTCAATTTTAAAAAGTGGCGACTGCCAGTCCGTATCAGAGAATAAATTCTACTCTTGGAGTTACGCATAGAGAATGTTCATGTATACTGATAAATTTTCACACAAGGTATACAGTATCCAATACACCAAAACGCTGCAAGATATCACCGCCTACAAATTCTGATTTCGTGAATAACCCTTTACCTTTAAACGTTTCTCAGTGCATCACTAGATATTACTACAATGGTCCGTTTCACATTCTAAGTGTGCTTTTTATTACTATTACTTTCATTCTTATTACTAATATTACTATTATCTCACATACCTTCCTGAGGGAAAAGGATGACTTGATCCGTTGTACCATAGAAATCATCCACATCTCTACTAGATTCCAGTTTATTAGATTTATGTAAGATTGTCCCATTGGACAACGGTTTTGGTAATGTAGATAACGGCATAGATACTGAAGGCGGTTCTTTGAGTCTTAGTTTCTTCAAAATCTGTTGCTTAATTAATTCTATTCTTAGAACCGTAATTTCAGATTTTGCGAGATTTGATTCCTGAAAACCCCGTCCAGCACCACATCCTGGACAACTACTCCTACGGGATTCTGGAGACAGATCAGATAACGTCCTCCACGCTCGTAAAAGATGCTGGTGACGGTAGCGCGTTTGCACAGTATTTGCAATGCTAGAACCAGAGATCACGATCAGAAGGAAGATAAAACGTGCTAAAGCCATGACTGGGAGCGCGTGTCGGCAAGTGCTGAGTGAAGAGACTGGAACTACGTACTTTTCTGACCGCCGTGACTTTCTACTCCCGCTCAGTCTCCAGTGCGTACAAATTTCATTGTCCAAGTGCTCCTCCTCAAATACGGACAGAACATTACTATTGGTCGATCTTGGAGGGAACTCTCGTAGAGCAGTTGAGTGGGTACAAAATTCACACGGATGACACACGACAGAAACTACATTCTCATATTTACATAGCAGCAACTGTAGATTATTATTATTATTATTAGTAGTAGTAGTAGTAGTAGTAGCAGCAGTAACGGTAGTGTTCAGTCATTTCTGCAGTTAGGGGAATTAATTTGGAAACAGATGACATTTACATAGAGGCTTCACCTCTGCAAATTGAATATTATTGTTACTGTCACCATCATCATTAGTTTGTGTTTTGGCGTTATTTCTAGGAAGTACTCATAACTACACGTGACGCTGGGGGCGGGAGAGATATTTCAAGTTTAAAAATTTATATTACATAAGTTAATGCTTATTTCCCCTTCCATTATTCCCTGATTTAAGTGAAATTATACTTTTGTCCCAAAGACCGAATAGGGCACTTACCAATAATAATAATAATAATAATAATAATGACAGCCTCTGTGGTCAGAGTTCCTGCCTACAGATCTAGAGGTCCCGGGTTCGATTTCCGGCGCTACCAGATTTTCTGAGAAGTAGTGGGAACGCGATCCACCAGGATTGTGAGGATAATTGAGACTGAGCAGCTATTTCAAGGAAACAGCGGCTCAGATCTAGAAAACCGAGATTAACGGGCCGTGGGGATCCGTTGCGCTGACCACGTGACACCCAAAAATTGGCACTAACTTTGGCGACAAGCGACGGTCGCTCGGTCGTTACAGTTTCCTTGCGGACTACAGGCCACGGAGAAATAATAATTCTTCATTCCACATAACAACATGATTATGCCCCATAGCTCATCAAGTGAGTGTAGTACAGTTGTCCCTGTATTTAATTACGCTACACTCCATGAAGACGTATGGGAAAGTGGAGGTATTGCTCCACATATTTTAACAATGTTTTACAAAATTAGTAGCTCATCCATGCTGGATCCTGTTATTCCATGGGCACAGACAAGGATAATCAGAGACTACTCTACTTTTAATGTACATCATCATTTCATGTTCACGCCTTCAGTTTGATGTGTTTCTGTTGGTATTCTAATTTGCAGGAACTCTCTTAATTATTCATCCCATAATGTATCTTGGAAAGGGGGCTATATTCCAGATGTTCCACTTTTTTTATTTTGCCCTGCTGTCATGATTCAGATCCCGTGTTTCATGTTACATAAGAAGCTAATTTAAGCCTTTAGTTCAGACTTGCAGATAAAAATGTGCCTTCCGCTGGGGGGGTAAAGAAGTTGGAGCATAAATCTTACCACTCAGCTCCATCTAATGTGGGTATCAAGAATGGAGCTCATCTCAACACATACCTAATATGGCTCTACAGTGTGATGCATAGGCATAGTAATGAAAACTGGATGTGACCAGAATGCCACTGATGAAATGATGAGGTTTACACAGCAGTGAAAGATTCATATTATGGTCCTCTTGGTTATGACACTGTGCAGTCTTGTAGGCAGAGCCAGCACTACAGAACAGGCAAATCTGGCAGCTTCATAGGGAGGCGCAATTTTGTGGGTGGTGCATTTTAAAAAACACATTTTTTTTTTACAAAAATTTAATTTATGCTGATCCTTGGTACATATCGTGGTCATTAACTGGAAGTAAGCTAAACATGTTATGGAACAAGATAAAGATAATTCTGGAGACCAACTCACGAAATATACGCACAATAAAGGATGCTGATCAGTCCGTTGACCAGTTGCAACGAGCTATTATCTCGTCCTTTAATAGGAATTGTCCGGCTAGGACAACTCGCGAACCAAGGAGAGTGCCTTGGTGGAATAAACAGCTGAGTGAGCTTAGAACCAAAACGAGAAGGCTGTTTAATATAGCTAAGAGAACAGGGCAGTGGGACACCTACAAGGAAGCCCTTACCTGTTACAACAAAGACATAAGGAAAGCCAAGCGATCCCCAGGAAGGAGGCACTGCCAGGAGATCAGTGATGTACCAGGTGGTGCCAGACTCATGAGAATCATGGCAAAACAGGCGACCAACAAGATCAGCACGATTAATTTGCCTAAAACAGGCGACCAACAAGATCAGCACGATTAATTTGCCTAACGGGCAGTATACTGAAACAGGAAGGGGGACACTGAATGAATTATTCAGGGTTCACATTCCTGATTCAAAATTGATTGATAATTTGAACGATGGACAGGGTCAGCAAAACCTGGGCACTTGCCAAAGCAAGATGAACAGGGTAGACTGGAACCTGGCCAAAGTCATAATTAACCAATCAAAAATAAGTTGGGCACTGAATATGTTGAGACCATTTAAGTCAGCGAGAACAGATGGAATTGTACCAGAACTTTTGCAGCAAGGGGCAGAACTCTTAGTTCCACACCTATGCCGCATATATAGAGCCTGCATGGCATATAGTTTCATCCCCATGGCATGGAGGCAAGTTAAGATGACATTTAATTCAAAGCCCGGGAAACTAGATTACACCGAGGCTAAGGCTTATTGTCCTATCAGCCTGTCATCTTTCCTTTTGAAAATGATGGAGAAAATAGTGGATAGCCATATTAGGGATGGGGCATTGAGGACATATCCTCTACACCGAAACCAGCATGCCTATCACACAGGTAAATCTACCAAAAGCGCACTACATAATGTGTTAACACGCCTAGAGAGTGTGATTGAACACAAGGATATTGCCTTAGGAGCATTCCTTGATATAGAGGGAGCTCTCAATAGAACCTCATTTGATATATCAAACAGGCCGCTGGAAAGCATGGCATAGAGCCTGCAATATGCAGGTGGATCAGTGCTATGCTGGAAAGCAGCAATGCCAAGTACCTTGGTCTAGTATTAGTCAAGGGACTGACATGGAAAAAGCAGCTGGATAAGGTCATCAATAATGCCTATAAGGCTTTTTTGACATACAGAAGCATGTCTGGTAAAACTTGGGGACTGCAGCCGCACGTTGTGCATTGGATATACACTGCGGTTGTAGGAACCATAATTACATATGGCGCCACAGTATGGTGGCCAAGTTAAACTCAAGACAAGCAAGGCAGAACTTAGCAAATTGCAAAGGTTGGCTTGCTTGGGTATCACAGGAACAATTCAAACATCTCCAACAGCTGCACTAGAAACACTCCTTGGACTCCCCCCACTGCACATACAGTTGGAGGCAGAGGCCAGGGCACGAATCTACCATCTCCAGTGAAGTGATCAATTGAAACCTAGATCCGATAGTTTCGGACATGCATACATCACTCGCGACATGAAAGAAGAACCCATATTACAAATGGGGTCTGACAAAATGATACTGAGACACATATATGAAAAACCCTTCACAGACAGATTTCCAGACAGGAGTGAATGGGAGATGGGTTTCAGCCCGATAGAAAAGGGAGACTGATGTGGTATACAGATCGTTCCAAGATAAATAAGGGCAGTGGAGCTGGTGTGTTCTGCTATGGCACAAGGTGGAAACTTAGTTTCAGCCTTTGGCAGTACACAACAGTATTCCAGGCAGAAGTATATGCCATTAAGGCATGTATTATGGAGAATCTAGATAGGAACTACAGAAATAGGAACATCTATACATTCTATCTGACAGCCAGGCTGCTATTAAAGCGCTTGACAAATCCCAGATCAACTCAAAATTGGTCTGGGATTGCCACCAAACTCTCATGGAACTGGCCAAATATAACGGTACAACTGATATGGGTGCCGGGGCATGAGGATATTGCTGGAAACGAAATAGCAGATCAATTGGCCAACACTGGAGCTGAACATCCATTCATTGGACCTGAACCAGCCTGTGGCATCTCTATAGGAGCTGCCAGAAAGGCAATCAGGGACTGGACAAATATGAATCACAAGAAATACTGGGGATCCTTAACTGGACTCAGACAAGCTAAGGGACTCATATGAGGACCCTCTACTAGAAGAGTGAAGGAACTGTTGAAGTTAAACAGGATCCAGCTACAATGGGACTAAGTAAGAGTCCACCTTGTGAGAGGTGTCAAGAAGAAAATGAAACAGCCACACATATCCTGTGCAAATGTGAGGTCTTAGCTTATTTAAGACTGCGTCACTTGCGTCAATATTTTATGGAACCAAGGGACTATTTTGACATCCCCACGTAGAAAACCCTATGCTTCATTCGAAGTGCAGGATTGTTGAGGGGATAAACAGAAGAGGAGGCATAACACATAACTGTGGTCACGATGCAAGGGCCAAGAAGGCCCACCCCTTATGCATTCATTCATTCATACATACAGAGTGAAATGGAGCAAAAGCACCACCCTTGCTCATAATGTAGGACACTGTTTAATTGTGATATAGTAGCAGAACCATTCTTCACTTGTGCAATACAAAATGCTTCAGTATAATTTTGGAAATTCCATGCATGCTGCAAAACTATTATTTATAATCTATTCCAGACCTTTTATTACAATTCTGTTGTTCATATTATACTTGTTAGTTGTATTTATGTTAATTATATGTGCTGTGTTCATTACCATGAAAGGAGGAAGTTCATACTTATTTTTCATACCTTATAGGGGTGTAATAACTGCTTTCACTTCAGAAGGAATCAGCAGGATGGTGATCACAAGGAAATGGATGGCTCAGACAGGAGAATTGGCTTCTAATCTTGGAAACATCATGGCAACCAGTACGTCCCCTAGTGGCAGATTTATGTACAAGTTAAATAAGAGACTATTCTGGGCTTTACATCGTGATGGGCTTCAAAAAATAAATAAAATTGTATATTTTTATTTTAATTACATTTAAATATGAAAACAATACATGAGAAATTCACAGCATTGTTCTTCAACTATTCTGTAGTCAGTGACATTCTCCAATGTCAAATTATATGATGCACTTGCATGTTTATCATGTACTACATATTCAGGAAACTAATTTTCTGGTTTAAGTCTGATAACATCCCCCTTCCACCATTCTTTGTTCCAAACATGGAAATAAAGAGAAACATTTTGAAGTCCCTGCAGCAAACTCAACCTGGTGTGCCCAGCCCTTAGTCTGTCAGTACTCTATCAAAATTTTGTGTCCATAACAGACTTTGTGAGTTATATTACTTCAGTATTATAAAATTATAATAAAAATCACAACTTTACACTGAACAAAATTATAGCCTACAAAGAAAAGCTCACTCTGCTTGTACAGGTGTATGGATCACTACACAATGTTTGCCATCCAACCTGTTCAGGTCAAATTATCATCACAATAAGCATTATATATATATATATATATATATATAATGTTGAATTAATACTTTATCCAAGTCAGTTGGGGTTCAAATCTTAGTATTCCAGTCTGCCACTACTCTTGCCTTTGGTTTTAGCCTTGAGGTCAAAACATATTACAATGTACTGGCAGAAGTGCAACTTTTAATTACTCACAAATTTGCCTGCAGGCAACACCTATTAGAAAGTATGCATACCAACTGAAAAGAAGCCCTGACTAAAAGTAAATCTTGACCAATCAACACTTTTGACAGCTTGATTTGAAATACTGTCTTCTTGGAAAGCACAGTTTGTGGGAACAATTCAACAGGAAGAGACACTTTCATTTAAAGCCATAAAATCAGGGCCACTGACAGAACCCCAAGTGTGATGCTACAAAATATTAGCTCAATAGCTGATGCTACAGAATGTCTACAAGACCCAAGACACCCAAGTCAGTTCGAGTGGCACTCAGCATGACAAGTTGCCTCCTATTGGCACACTCCCATCAAGATGGTCCAATCTGTCACAATTTCCTACATTCCAGTAACAAGAGGGTTGAACATAGACATGACAGATGAAATGTTGGAGTCCATCAAGAATAACTAGTATGTACAAGAATTTTAATTGAATTAATGCTCTTGTGAATAAAGGAAACTGATGAACTCTGAGTTTTTTCACTAGTAAGATGGTACGATGGCAACAGGTTATGCCTTAAATAACATCAAAGGTAGTTTTTTGGAGGAAAATGATGGGAGTGTGCTGTTTCATAAATTAAATACCTGAAACCAAGTACAGATTGTGTTAAGTTCTCTACACTGCATCCAGACAAATGACATGGCATAAGTGAAATAAAATCCTGAAGTGAGAAGATTATGGTCTTCTGGGGTGTGACACTGTGTAGTTTGGTAGATAAGTACCAAGATTTTGTGAGAATATGTTTCCTCCATCTTCAGGATAGAAGAGTATGCCATGCGCCATCACTAGCACTGGCCACATTAAGTCTGCTCTCTCAGCATAAATGTCTTGTTATCAAGCTCTGTTTGTTATAAGATGATATAAAAATAAAAATGTCCTTGCTCAGAATATATAAACACATACTTTTATTTTGCACAATGAAAGTAATTTTTACCAGCACTGTAATTGCTGTACATAAAACAAGAGCATAATATGAGTAAAAATGCATGTGATGAAATGATGTGTCAGAACAATAATAATAATTACTACTACTAAAATTATACTTATTGTTTAGTGGGACATGAAGAAAGCAGGGTAGTTTGGGAAACTTTTAAATTAAATCAGAATGATGAAACAATCTGTAAAATTCTTGAAGATAAGAGAATCTTATCTCTTTATACATCCGTATCTATTGTATTATATTTATCATTTTCATATGTACATGAAACTATCAAATACAGCTTTCAGTGAAATCTTTAATTTCACCTGACATGTAAATTCCATGGTCCAAAAACCCAGAAATTCCAAGTGCATCACCTGACATGTTAATCAATTGTGATAGCAGAGGTTTCTTTGTCATATTGTTTATTACAGCTGACTTGTATGCTCTTCTACATACATGGCATTATACCCCAAAACACAGAACCTTTCCAAAATACTTGTTTGGAATGCATTCTATTTAGGGAAGTGGTTTCAGTAAATTATTGAAATTTAATCAAAATCATTACAGCAGTTTTAGAGAAAATTGCCATTTTGTGTATTGGCGCTCATTTGAAGAGCTGGAATGTTCAGATTCACTAGACACCAATCCAGAATGGATGAAGTCTTGAATACTGAATATATATATACAATTCAACAAACCATTCAGGTGCTACTGAGGCACACATACATAGAGGCAGATGGCATAAAAAAAAACTTTTTTGTACTTGGAGGGGGGTGTAATTCCATTGAAATCTCGAGACCAATCTTTGCATAATCACAATATTTTCTCATTAACACTACATACAAGCAAATGAGGAAGAAAAATGTGTGATTTTATAGAATAAATAACAGTCACACATGGATAAAAAGAAAATTGTATAATCCATGGCCAAATAATCGGAAGCTGACTGCAGATGCATTTCATATACAGTATACGATGGGGTACCCAAAAGAAACCGAACTAATTTTTTTGTGGGCAGAGCTTTTGTAGTACCGTGTTTTGCCGCTATGAGTGCATAGAGCTAACATTCCTGAGTCGATAATCCGACTACCGTTGCTTCAGAAGGTAAGGACTAGTTTCGGCAGAGTTTATAGTGACAACTGTTTTGTGTGATTGTCGTTTTTGCAATGGCTTATTTTCGTGAACAGCGTGCGGCGGTGAAATTCTGCTTTTTGCTTGGGAAAAGTGGAACAGAAACTCTTGAAATGTTAAAAACGGCGTACAAGGACGATTATATGGGGAAAACTCAAGTGTTTGAGTGGTTTTCCCATTTAAAAAATGGTGAAATGTCAATTGATGACAAACCTCGTTCTGGTCGTCCTTCCACGGCCCGAACACATGAAAATGTTGAAAAAATTCTTGAAATCATCAAGGAAGATCGACGACGGACCATTGAAGAAATTGTGGAGCTGTCGGGAGTGACTTGGAGCTCAGTTCAGCGAATTTTGACAGAAGATTTGGGAATTAAAGGGTGGCTGCAAAATTCATGCCATGACTGCTGACTGCTGAACAAAAACAAGGTCGCATGGAAGCATGCTGTGCTTTGAAAAAAGAGTCCTGAAATGATCAAAACTTTTTTTTGTTTCCTCGAATGAAAAGAGACATGAAAGGAAAGCATTTTGCTGATGTTGCTGAGGTGAAGGAAAAAACGACAGAGGCGCTGTCAAGCATCTCAAAAGATGAATTTAGACAATGTTTTGAAAAATGGAATAAAAGACTAGACAAGTGTATTAGTGTAAGTGGAGAGTACTTTGAAAGGGATTGAAGGTTTGTGCTTAAAATTTGAATAAATAAGTTTAAAAAAAAATAAGTTCTGTTTCTTTTGGGTACCCCCTCGTACATGTTACACCAATGGACACATCCATATAATTTAGTTAAGATAGTAAAGGTGGCATTTATATCAATTATTCAGATGGAAAATATACTACATCTAAGTAACATGAGCAAGTGCAGTTAGTTTTACAACAAAGCAAAACATCACTGTTACAAGCTGATATCACTAGACACAATCATGCCTTTGAAGAAGTATCCTGTAATACTGTAAGAATGATGCAATCATTTCTTTATTACATTCACCTGAGCTTTCTTTGGTGGAAACCACTGCAATGAGCTTGTGTCTACAACGAGCCTTGGTTTTTTGAAATGACTTGAATTAATAAGGAGACTAATCAACTGTGGGGTGGTGCAAATCACATGCTCTCCTTTCCAGTACTTTACCATTCCCATGGAGTTCAATGTAGCTGTGATATCACCTTCTGTGATACTTGTCATCTGACTTATTTTCTTGATTGAGATTATTCCTCTCAAGTCCCGTAATATCTCAAGAATAACCCATGACCAGTATGAGTGATAACTCAAGCGTCCAAGATCTGACAGTGGCTTTTCAGGACTGCCAACAACCTCCTCTAGTTTCGAAAGTTCATAGCTGAACGCAATGAGCAATTTTCCATAACCCTGTCTTTGATATGGAGGAAGTGTTAGAATGCATGCTACATTATAACCATCTGGGGATTCCTTCTCTTTTGAGAAATAACCAACAAGATGAGAACCATGTTTATCCACTTCACACAGTATATAGAAAAGAAATGGTTCAACATCAAAGAAGAGAGTCTTATGATCAAGGAACAATTTTGCCAGAAGACACAAATTCTGACAGTATATCTTATGATCCTTTCCGTCAACTTCCCATATTGCAATTGAATTTTTTCGATAGATTTCCTTGCCTGGAGGTTGCCTAAAAATGCACTCACTCATGTGATACCTAAAGGTCTTCTCTAGTCGCATGTACTTGAGACAATATTCACAAATCCACAGTTTTGATTGCTTTCCATACTCCTCAGGGTATGGACTAAAATACCATGTATCAATCTCATATCGTCCAATTTGTATGCGATCAATGTACTTTACTTTTGTTAATGCTTCATGCTCCTCTTCAAGAGCAGCAGATGTTGGGTCTGTATCGTCTTCACTGATATTCCTCTGGAATAGATGAATTTAAAATGTTCTCATAAAATTAAAATCTCACTTCATATTGTTTCAGCCATAATGAAGAACACAAATTATATTTTCAAATTCTGGGACATTGTCCTGCAGTGACAACTTCTAAACCAGAGGTGTATTTTATTAAATTTCATTCAAACATTTCATATTAGAATACACAGATGACAGCTGTGAAAAATTTAAGGTGGGAGGAAGAACCATCATTATCTTCACAGAATTTAATTTTGAATAACAGAAACTGTTCAAAATTACAAATATTCTACTGTTGTCATTTCGACCACAAATAAAAAATAAAATACTTTATAAAATATTGGTCTACCTCTTGGATTAATAATAATGCATGCAACCAATTTTATATTACAAAAAATTATGGATATTTTCACACTTTCGTGTGACATATGTTTTAAAACACAACCAAGAAAACCACATGAACTTCACATTTTAACAGCCCCAATTTTGTTATTGCAATTCATGAACCACTGCAGCTAAAAACTGGAAAGCTTACTTGAAGGAAGTTCATAAGACAGCAGTTGCTCTTTGTTTATTCCTACATAACCAATATTAAGGAGGTCCCCGCCACACACCGCAGTAGTAAATAAGCACTTTGTAGGTACCTTTTCTCATAACTAGTGTAGATGGAAATATGAAAATGTGAACATATTCCAAACCATTTATTTTAATTAACCTTGAATTATTCAATTAAAATTATACTTTTCTAATATATACCAAGCTATTTCTTCTAACGCAATTTCATATGTATGTATGTATATATATTGGTGCAAATTTCACAAAAGGTTTTTGGAATATTCTTGATTTATGGCACAACAAAATGCAGAATTTTTTATTTTATATAAGTAATAACCAAAATAAATGTATGTAAACATTAAAGTACACAAGTTACAAGAAACTGTGCATAATGTTAACATATCCCTGCATCATATTCACGGTGACAGTCCCCTTCTGGTTGTTCTTCAGCCTGCAGTCTGCTAGTCTTCAGGCCAGTTAAGCTGTCTTTTCCACACTGCAACCTAGACTCAGTGTCCATCAGTACACATATCTCTTTTGCATTCTTTTCCACAGACACTCCAAGTTCTTCTACAGCTCTTATTTTGCCAAATTGTAGCACAACGAAGGAAATTATGGTCTCCATAATTCTTATCTTAAAATGTCCATGCTCTCAAAAATGGACCTTGAAAATCACGATCATAACATGTTGCTGAAATTCTCAATGAGATTATGGGTCTGCCACACAGGTACCTCTTCAACAGATCAGTGTGCTGGAGCTCATATAAAACGGCTTTACCATCATCAACACAATTTTTGCCAAAAATTTTACATTCATATGAACTGATAGTTAACTTCCCACAGTTTAACTTACGCCCAATACACATGCACTCACTATATTTGGGCAGTTTATGTCAAAAGTTTGCTGAATCAATCAGCTAAAAGACAGCTCGGATATGGTCACTTCAGTGTCTAGGTTACCTCTTAATGGCTTCACCATGATACTGCTACACATCATTCATTATTTCTTGATCAACATACGTAGGTCGTACCGAAAGTCATGAGCAACTTTTTTTGCATGCAACCTGGGAACAGCAGACGAAAGAGAGTATGGTGGTAGGTGGAACCAGCTGTTGTGTTAACCTTGAGCGTCTTGTGATGTCAATAGGTGCATCACGTGACGAGTATCAATCCTAACAAAATGGCCGACAATAAGTCATTTTGCCAGCGTGCTGTCATCGAATTTCTTGTGAAAGAGGAAATCCCTGCTGCAGAAATTCACCAGAGACTTCAGCGTGCTTATGGAACTATGTGCATGGGTGCAAGCAGTGTTCGAAGATGGGTGAAACATTTTAAAGATGGGAACACCAGCGTCGAAGATGAGCCTCGGAGCGGTCGTCCTCAAACAGCCTAAACTGAACGCAACAAGGAAAGAGTGGTTGAGATCATTCAAGATGACAGGCATGTGACTGTGGACACAATAGCCCGAAAACTTGAAATAGGGCAAAGTGCAGTAAAGGAGATGATTGAAAGCTTGGGCTATCGGAAAGTTTGTGCTCGTTGGGTCCCTCAGTTATTGACCGAAGGCCACAAAGGTCAGCGAAAAGCCATCACATCAGAACTGCTGCAGAGATACCGACATGAAGGCGATGATTTTTTGCTCTGTATTGTGACAGGTGATGAAAGCTGGTTTCAACATTTCAAGCCTGAAACGAAACAGCAGAGTATGACACCATTTGCATTCTCCATCAAAAAAGAAAGAAAGACAGTGCCATCAGCTGCAAAGGTGATGGGCACAGTCTTCTGGGATGCAGAGGGGTTTATTCTGGCCGAATTCCTGGAACCTGGGCAAACCATCAATGCTGCTCGTTATGTCCAGACACTGCACAAGCTCCATCGTTCATTGTGCGATAAACATCCGTGACAAGACATCATCATCCTGCATGACAACACACGCCCCCACGATGCTCGCCTCACATTGGAAGCAATTGCAAAGATGGGGTGGGAAGTTCTTCCACACTCCTCCCATAGCCCTGATCTGGCACCCTCCGACTACCATCTTTTCGGATTTGTGAAGGATCAGCTGCGTGGACGTTTTGAGACAAGGGAGGCAATTCAGAAAGCAGTGCGTCAGTGTCATTGGATGGCTGGAACAGAATTTTACAGAAGGGGAATTTTCAAACTCCCAGAACGCTGGGAGAAAGGTGTACAAAGAAGTGGCGATTGTGTAAAAAAATAAAGAAAGGTCTGTAGATTGAGGTGGCGTATTTGGTTTGTCAATAATAAAGCATGTTACTTTACAAAAAAAAATTGTTGCTCATGACTTTCAGTACGAGCCTCGTACATCTACCATTCAGAAATTTACTACCTGACAAATGGCTTTTAATCCTTCCATGTTCTCCTCAGTTGAACCCCCATCCACTTTTAACATGTCTAATGTACAAGTATTCGAAACTGACGATTTCTATGTCTTCTTCTGACTTCATTTCTACATCCTCGAGAAACTTGGAATTTCCATCACCTAATAACTCAGTCATTACACACAGCATGCATTTCTGGGGATTAAAAAATTCATAAAGCTCCAATATTATATTTAATATCATATTTAAGCATCCTGTTGCACTCTACACGACAAATGATACAAACTCCGTCCCAAGTGCAAACAATATATATTACATGTCTTTGATCTTGCTCTCTTCTACACTACATGTTTCGGCCTCTAGCGGCCATCATCAGGTGTATACTCTGACTGGGTTTTTAGACTGGGTTCAATGTGGCAGCAACGTAAGAGTATACACCTGATGATGGCCGTTAGAGGCCGAAACATGTAGTGTAGAAGAGAGCATGGGGCTAACAACTCCTCACTGTTAAAAATACACCTGTTGCAAAAATTAACACAAAGCCTTCGACCTGGACAGATCCTCTGGATAAACAACCTCAGATAAAGAAAAGTGTAGCACAAATGGGGGAGATGAGGAATGCATATAGGATATTGGTGGGAAAGCCAGAAGGAAAGGGACCACTACGAAGATCAAGGCATAGGTAGGTGGACAACATTAAAATGGATCTTAGAGAGATACAATGGGATGGACTGGATTGATCTGGCTTAGGATAGGGACCAGTGGAGGGCTCTTGTGAACACGGTAATGAACCTTCAGGTTCTATAAAATGTTTGGAAATTCTTGAGTAGCTGCAGAATTGGCGGCTCTTCAAGAAGGGCTCAGCTCCATGAGTGAGTAAGTAGTTAGTTAGTTATTGGAGAGGGTGGGTTTCCCCATGCACTGAGACCTGTATTGGTCCATTGTGCTTCCCTCTATGATTTCTACCAGTCTCTATATCCTACCGGTACTGGTGCTTACCATCAGTCCCGCCCAGCCAGTGAGACCAGCTCTACTAGCTGAGAGGTATCTATAATGCTTCCCCCATCTACCATAGGTATTAGAGACTGCTGTTGGGGGGGAAACGTCCGTTAATTTGGCTCAGTGACCTCCTTTGGAGATATGAGGTTCTTTTACGTGCCGTAAAGCTACGACACGGGACCCATGGCTTAAAGTCCCTCCCGGAGGACTTGTTCCCTGAATTTTTCCGCCCTTAAAAATTCGACGACCTCCGCTGGGTATTTGAACCCGCGTACTACGAGTCATGAGGTGGGAACGTTACCTCTAGACTACCGAGGCCGCTTAGTGAGTAAGTAAGTAACCAAGCCTATTAAAACTGTGCAGTCCCTAAATATTTATTTTTTTATGCAGTATTTTCTAACACCATCTTTCTTTGTACACTGGTTACTACGGAACTTATGACTGAAAATAAGTTCCTTTCATCTACGAATATCTCTTTAAGTAAATTAGAGAGAACATACTCAAAAAAGCCTTAGATTCTTCTCTGGAAACCTAAAACCACATGGTAACAAACAGGATAAGGGACATTCACGTGTTCAGGAAGGTGGCAAGAAAACTGTATTTTGAAGCAAATTATAACAAACTGCTGTGATAAGTTGTGTCCTACATTTAATTACCCTGGGAATTTGAGTAATCTCTTTAAACGCCAAACTTAATACTAGAAAAATATATTTCCATATAAATACACACATCTAACTAGTCAAGAAGAAACACAAAGTTAAACATATTCTGAAAATGGTTTTTTTCTGTTTATCCCCGTAATAACGTTTATTGTACATAAACTTACATATTAATAATAAATTACTAATGCATTATTAAATACACATAAATACAGAAAAAACTTCACATTCAAGGCAGATGCCATGTCTAAATTAGGTGATATACTTGCCTTCTGATGATGATAAACTTCACAATGTTTCCGTTTCTGATTGCGTGTTATTTTTCTGTCTGTCTGATTCAACAGTAAATTCATTGTTCTACTTTGCTGATCATCTTTCCAGTCCTGATCAAACTGTTGTGTTGTCATCACCCTGCATATATAAAATACAGTAACACTGCTGAACACGTAATGTTTCTCTTTATACTTCTCTTCTTTTATTTAGAATGAATAGAATTTATAAGTAATATATCCATACGAGAACTGCATTTCACTGGCCACATTTCATCACAACAGACCCTTTTAATTTAACAGTGTATGTATTTCAAAGTATGGAAAAGTTCGCTAGTACAAAGGGACAATGTTCTACTAACAAAATATACATCAGAAGATTTACAGTTAAAGAGGGACATATCCACATTCCATACTTTATTTGTTCAAGATTTATTTATCAATGCTATCAGTGGTTCAGACTATACTGTGATGAAACATAGGTTGACCAGTGAATAATGATTTTGGAACTGGTCGACGCCTAATCTGAGTATTGCCTGGAGGGACTGAGGAAAATCATGAAAAACTTGCCAGCATGGTAGGTTTTGAATCAGGCACTTCTTAAACACAAGTCAGCAACCTTGCAGCTTGAACTACCTTGCTCTGCGTGCATACTCCAACTTCATTATGCAAACAAGGTAAATAACTTCTACAGCACTGAGTTCTAACTATTTAAACTCCAGAGTCAAAATAATTTCATTTTACTTTTAAACAGATACATTCTAAACTTATGTAGGATATGGCCACCATTTGCACACATGTTCCATTGAAAAGTAGCAGGTTTGATTTCATGTTGTGGAAACACTTTTCAGTATTCTTATATGCAATGGTATTTTCAGTAAAGTCGAGCAGAGACTGCCAATGACATACACATTGTTTCTTGGAGATGAAAATAGTATGTTGCAATAAAGTGTAGCATTTCTGTGTCAATCAATTACACTACTACTCTGCATGAATATACTTGTATATCTGAAATCAGGATATAAAATATTGTCGACCTGTCTATATCCCTTCCAGAAATGCATTTCAGTGGCTGAAAGATAACTACTTACCTGAGTACTTGTTCAATATGGAAGAGATAATGAATGCCTAAATATATATGCTCTTTTAGGCCCTCAGAGTGGCAGTCGTAAGTACCAAATTTAAACAATAGAATGTATGTCCATCATGACTCTTCACTTATTTTACGAAGCCGTTTAACCCACTTAAGTTCTATATTGTCAAATAAGATGAGAAGATGATCATGATAATCATAAATAGTAAGTATCTGTGCTATAGCCTAGTTACAGCTACCATCTTGGCATTCACCTAGAGAGAGGGCTAAGTCACAAGAGCTGGTAGTTCAGCTAGCATTCAAAAAGATACCTATCAGATACAAATCTGAAGTGTTACTGATACATTTGCATGCTCAGTACATGTCCCTCTCTATAGCATCAATCTTTAACATAAGGTTTTAATTCTGTAGATTCTGCATATTGGATTAAGGTATTAGCTAAACACAAGGTGAGATTTCAATCAGACACCTCCTTTCAGACAAGCAGGGTCTCCTTGTTTTTGAGACATTAAGAATAAATACAACACAGCTGATTATGAGGAATTCCAGCTGTTAATTCTAATATCTGTGAACATACCTGGAAATGTATTTATGGCATTAAATGTTTAATTTATTTCTGTTTGCTTAAAACACTCAGAACTAAATGACACATTCAATTTTGTCAACAAAAAAAAAACTTATTTTTCTTATGTTCCCATTGGAAAAATAGGGAGTTGCCTTATATGGTAACTTCTGACATCACTTTCGCTTCACACAGTTACTCCCTAGAGAGATGAATTGAGTGTTCATAGTTTCCACTATTCCAGGAATGTGTAATGAAATTCAGGAAAGAGTTCTATCTGTTGGCATATAATACCATGCAGTTCGTTCAAAGGTTGACTTTCAAAGGACTATATGATATTATATCTCGGAAGATAGAACACTAGATAACCACCATTATAAGAATCTCAAATCATACATAATGAAATTCTAATCTTAAGATTTTGTTTTTAAAGCTGACTGTTATGAATGTTAAACTGAGGAAGATCTGAAATGGATGAAATTTAATTCTGGTGTTACTGATTCTGGACAACTGAAATACTGAATGTCATGGATGAGTAGACAGCTTTCCTGCTTTGTATTTGGGAGATCCTACACTCAAATCTCACCTCTGAGACAGGCTATCTTGACCTCTTCCTCATTTTCCTCCATCCTTCTAGGCAAATGTCATAACAGTGCCTAACACTAGGCCATAACTGCTTCTTTCTATTGTCATGTGACTAAATAACTGTGGATCCTAGATTTGATGACTGGATTTATTTGACATCTATATTACAATTACATTGGATTATAACAGTTGACACATTTAACTCCTTCTGGATAACGAATCCCTCTGTTGTATGGATCTTGCACCTCTGGTCTTCTCAACTCTGCATAACTCTGCTTAGTTCTGCTGCTATTTTATATTGGAATGGCATACCGAGTAGGGATCACCATCTCCAAGGGTTTGTACTTCGCGTATCTGATCTAACTGCCCGTTTCTGTATGCACTACTTAGGAGGCATCTATTTAGAAGTCATTACCACAGACATGTCTTCAATAGTTCCATCAAAACCCAGAGTAAAAGTGCATTTCATGTTACCATGGGAACGTGCTCTGCGAAGCCTCACCCAGTAGATGGGCAGGTTGCAGCTTTCAGGCTGCAGGTCAGACTATATTTCATTAAATTCATTATTCACTAAGCACCCAATCATTCAACACTACACAATATCAGCTACTGAAACTCTTAAATAAATAATAACCACAATAATGCATCAAATGATGAAAAACTTCAAATCTAGAGATATGATAATTATTTATGGTATTCATAATGCATTTCAGCTAAAACTGTTGATCACTTACTTCAAACATAAAAATTAGAAATATTAAAAGCTGGCCAGACATGAAGTGGCTGAAAAAGTAGTAGCACTCACTCACTCACTCATTGAGCTGAGCCCTTCTTCAGAAGCCGCCAATTGTGCAGCTATTCAGGAACTTCACAGCATTTTATGGAACCCAAATGTTCAGTATTGTCTTCACAAGAGCCCTCCACTGGTCCCTATCCTGAGCCAGTTGGATCTAGTTCATACATCCCATCCTATCTAAGAACCATTTTAACATTGTCTTCGTTTTCCTAGTGGTCTCTTTCCTTCTGGCTTTCCCATCAATATCCTACTAGCATTCATCTTCTCCCTATTCATGCTACAAGCCCTGTCCATCACATCCTCCTTGACTTAATCATTCTAATTATACTTGACAAAGTGTACAAGTTATGAAGCTCCTTAATACGTAGATTTCTCCAACCTCCCATCACTTCAGCCCTCATTGATCCAAATATTCTTCTCAGCACCCTGTTCTCAAACACCCTCAGTCTACGTTCTTCCCTTAATGTCAGAGACCAAGTTTCAGACACATATAGAACCACAGGAAAAATTAGTTTTGTATATTCTAATTTTTATGCTTTTAGACAGCATATGAGAATAAGCATTACCCGAATTGAGTCTCCTCTTAAATTTCCTTCTGAATCAAGTTTTGGTTTGTTATAATCATTCCAAAATATCTGAACTGTGCCACATTTTCAAAGCATGTATGTATGTATTTATTTTGTCTCTACAGATCATTGTTACATGATATAGGACAAGCAGTAGTAACAATTACAAATAAATGTGGAAATTATGCAATGTCACATATGTGCCTCTGCAATGCAAGACTACATCCAGCAAACTGATGTAGGAAAAATTCAAGAATACAGCTGTCTGAAAATTAAGTACAATTACAACCTGTAGAAATTAACCACTCAACTGTTTCAGTGAATGTGTTGGTAAATTACTATATTACTGCATAAATGGCAACCAATGAAATACACACAAAAATATGGAATTATAAGACAAAGTTTCAATTAAAGAAACCCTGCATGCAGTATTTCATTTTAATTGTGCTGAGATGCTTTTGTAAATATCATCTGGTTCCTAGTTCCCTCCATGAAATTACACAAAAGTCATGCTTTTATACAGATAACAGGTGCTCGAAGCTAAATTTTCAGAATATTTTCAATTAATTGTGGAAATGAGGTTTTGCAGCAACCAAAACCAAATCACAAAACTGTTCTGACAACTGAAGAGCATCATTGCCACAGAAGAATAAATAATGGTTGTGGGAGGAGGCCTACACTTAGAGTGAAGAAGGAAAAGTCATGAATTTTAGCCTGATATATGAGGAAAAATAGTAATCAGTCATCTCATGATGCAACAGTAAACATTATTATGTAAACCAGTATATGGTAAGGTATGGCTGTTCATGCGTTTAATTGGTTAAGCACTATGCCATAAAGACATATGGAGCGGATGTATAGCTCTACCTTTCTTGACCTCTGCATTAAATGGAGGTGAGTGGTCAGCTTCATGCACCTGCTGCTTTACTCCCTGGGTAAAGAGCCCCTGGTACCAATTGTATAGGATGCTGGGTGGGCCCCACAGTTGGTCTATATGCTGTAGAGAAGAGAAAAATCTTGCCAGGAATCGAACCTGGGTTGTCCAGCTTGTAGCCCATCACTATATCAATAGAGTTATCCTAATATCTACACAGTATATGGTAAAAAGATAACATAACAGGCAACATCAAAATAAGTATGCTACTATTGTAGGGCATAAAAAGGAAAACAAATTATATAGCTGAAATCTAGTAAAGAATCCTTTACCATGGTGCATTTACAGAGAGAGAAATAACAACATATGAAGGCCTCTTTACTCAGTTCCAGTGTGCTTCACAAGAAGAACATCGAATAGTCAGTTAACTGATTGGAGAATTCCTTCAATAATCACAATTTTATTGTATTTTGATGTATTTTAGACTTTTAATAGCTTTTAAATCTGATTAGAACACCCTCCAAAGATGCAGAATTCTGCCAAAACATGTATGATGGTGATGATTTTTTTGTTGAATAGATTAAAATGTACTGTTCTTTCAAATGATTCTACTTAGTTGTTTCAACTATTTGTGTTCATAAAAAACTCAGGTGGACTTGGTTCAGAATTTGTTCCTTGGTTAGGTTAGGTTAGGTTACAATGAGTTGATTATGTTACCCACCTGGTTAGTCCATTGTAGGATGCATATCTCCAAGGCAGGGCCCTAAGTTATGTTGGTCCTGTCTTGAGGGTATGAATTCCACAATAGCAGTGATGAGCTGGTAACATAACTGACATATAACTCAATCTAACCTATGCTTAATCATATGGGAAAGGGTGTGTAAGAAAATAACACTATCTTCATTCATTGCATTTCATTTGGTCACATGCATTACATATATGATTATACAAGGTAATCCTTAAATGTAAGTCACAAACAATATGACTGGGATTCCCCCACTGAAAATCATCATAAACATTATGATAAAGCTCTTGTTTCAACAACTTTATTTCACTGTTGTCTCCTCTAAAGATGTTTGGTCAGATGTCCATCACTGAGCAGAATACTGAAGAGAACACAATAAACAGAATCTGATGTTAAAGGAGGTGTAAAAATTTATTCCCTTCCTCCTTTACTTACAGTTATACATATGCTTTATTCCTCCTGTTTTGGAAAACACACACATACATACATATACATAGGTTAGAAAGCAGCAACTTAGACAGTTACATGTCTGACGACAGTCTATAACAAATGCTTTATGCACAAAGTGCATCTGTATCTGTATTTTTAACTTATCAACTGGCTAATGCACTGCTGGCCATCTCTGACATTTACTACTTCAGATACTGGTACTAAATTAGGTTTGCAATGTTGACAGTATTGTTTGACCAAGCAATAAGGTATATAATAAACCCAGTTTAAACTGCATGTCCAAAACCAGCTCCTCTATTGATGTTCTGTTCCAGATGAGTTATAGGAACAGATTATGTCCACTCTATCTTTGCATCTCAAATTCAGACATGTTTGATAGTACTTACAGATGGTCAAGGACTTCACACAAAAATAGTAACTAAGGGATTACGATGAGGAATTATCCTATTTATTCTATTGGATTATTACATGACAGTACATTCTGAACAGTGTAGTTTGCAGTGACAATTGCATGAGATTTGTGTTCATACATGTAACATTTTTATAAGACAGTCCTGCCCTTGATGAGCTGGTAGGCAATTGTGTACTCCTGTATAGTTCTATGTTGTAAACTTTATTGCATCTGTCTTTAATAACAGGTATGTGTATAGGTGTCACTGACATATCATGGCATGAAATGCGAAATGCTTCAATCAAGTCAATGATTGAGGAGTTTACTTACACCTAGTCACACGATGGGGTACTCAAAAGAAACCAAACTAATTTTTTTGTGGGCAGAGCTTTTGTAGTACCGTGTTTTGCCGCTATGAGCGCATAGAGCTAACATCCCTGAGTCGATAAGCCGACTACCGTTGCTTCAGAAGGTAAGGACTAGTTTCGGCAGAGTTTATAGTGACAACTGTTTTGTGTGATCGTCGTTTTTGCAATGGCTGATTTTCATGAACAGCGTGCGGCGGTGAAATTCTGCTTTTTGCTCGGGAAAAGTGGAACAGAAACTCTTGAAATGTTAAAAACGGGGTACAAGGATGATGCTATGGGGAAAACTCAAGTGTTTGAGTGGTTTTCCCGTTTCAAAAATGCTGAAATGTCAATTGATGACAAACCTCGTTCTGGTCGTCCTTCCACGGCCAGAACACATGAAAATGTTGAAAAAATTCGTGAAATCATCAAGGAAGATCGATGACGGACCATTGAAGAAATTGTGGAGCTGTCAGGAGTGACTTGGAGCTCAGNTTAAAAAAAAATAAGTTCGGTTTCTTTTGGGTACCCCCTCGTATGCCCAGTTAGGAACCACCACCTTAACACCACATTTTTTGAAAAAGTTAAATAGTTCTGTCCAGTGTGACTGGTTAAGATTTTCTTATTTCAATTATTCATGCCCTTACATGTTTCGGTCTTCAGAGACCATCTTCAGATGGACAGCTTGACGTCAATACTGTTAGAAGCCACCATTACAGTACATGTTCTAAAAGTTAAAATATATACATATAATATAAACAATATATAATTGGCTGTAAAATCTAAAGTCTTAACAACTACAGTGGCTGTTCCAATACTTTAAAACATTTATAGTTAGTTTGTTAAAATTCTATTGGAATTCATAAACTAAGCTGGTTCGTGTCATCCCTCTTATTATTTCTTTTGACGGGGGCCAAATGTGTGCCATCTTGTCGTTCTTGAGAAGAGGGTTCTTTAATGTTGTCCTGTATGTGTTTGTGGCCCGCTGTGTTTTTTGTTATAATGAATGAGAAGTTGGCAGGCTCATGGATATTATACTGGCTGCTATTGTCACAGGCAGTCTCTCTGATTGCAATTGTTAAAGGAGTGACACACAGTTGAATGTGCAGCCCAGACATTCAAATTCATGTCCTTAGGGCCATGAATGAGACTCACAGGATGGACAACAGATCAGTCAATCTGCTGACAGCCATCATAGGAAGTGTTTCCTTCTGGGTGAATGTGAGCTCATCTGATTGAACCAAGATGTGTCTCAATATCATTTCCTTAATCCAGGGGTTCTCAGACTCTGCTATATACAACCCCCTCCCCCCACCACCAAAATAATACATAAATTTATGTGGACCCCCACCATGACAGCAGAAACCTAAATAGCTTTACACTCCCTCTACATCTAAAATAAACTATAAAATGATCTCCTGTAGGGTCACAAATAACTTGTGAAATGTTTTGCTGGCTGCAGCTATATTTTCTGAAAGCACCTACATTAAATCTTACTGATGTGCCAAAACTCTGTGAGGATACAGCTGTGTTTTAAATAACTCTTGAGAACTTTAATCTTCTTCAAAACTTCTTCAATTTCTTTACTTCTTTTGGCTTATTTGAGACTAGCTCTTTCTAAGGGGCCCAACTGAGTAGGTTTATCCTTCCCTATCCATCTGAAGACGGAAACAGATCCAGTCTCCGAAATGTCGTGGTCTTTTGTCTTTTACATACCAGACAATGGGTGAAGTCCAAAATAAGCCAAAAGAAGTACAGTATACACCATCGTCAGAATCCTTTCAAGTCTATCTTCTTCAATTTCTTGTTCTGAAGTCTTGGCAAGTTTCTGGCAGAATTAGTCTTTGGTTGACAGCTCTTTCTATTAGCAATGGACTCATTTCACACCACAGTTTGTTCTACTTTATAATTTGTTAGATATAACTAAATCTAGGTAATCTTAACAAAATGCACAAACATATGTCATAGGATACTTCTCTTCTAATGTGAGTATAATGCTCAGCAAGAAGAAAAATACACTGTCTATAACTTCAACTCACTATGATTTGGGGAGGGGGGGGCACATAGGTGACTTGTTATAAAAACAAATGTCCAATTGTTTAATGATCATTTTAAAACATATAACTAGTTCTAGAAAATTAAAACAGTATATCAGTCACTTTGATATTGTACAAATTGGTACACAATTTCAAAACAGAGGAATACAAAGAAACAACCTACAACTACCTACTGCAACAACAGTTATAATGACAAAAAATCCATTTTCCAATAAAATGCAGCCCCACTTCAACTGCGTATCATTCTGCATATATTTTAAATTACATTACAATGCTAAAACTGACCTTTCTCTTTGAACCCATTCATCCAAACGTCTGTCGTATCCTTCATAATGGACATAATAATCGAAGTATCCTTCATCATCATTACGTCGTGACTGAATAATAATGGCTGGATCTAAAAACAGTTTAAATAAACTGTAAAACAACTGGCACTGGAAAGATGAAACAGAACTTCTACATTACAAGGATTCTGGACCAGTGTTCTGATAAGTTCCAATATTAGACAAACATGTTGCCTCAATTATGTCTTACTTGTAACAGAACCATACCTTACCACATATTCAAAGCAACCCACACAATTCCTATTGTTCAAAGTAACCCAAGCATATACTAGTCACAGAGTTATATGCTTCTCAATATCTTCTTAAACTGAAATTGGTATTTTGGCCTAATTTTATTACATTTCGAAAAACAGGTTTAAATAATTGTTTTGTGTCAATGTCACATGTTAGGTCTGTTCAGTTTGTATTAAACCTGGCTAGTTCTTATTAAAATTATGATTCATTAAACAATATTTGGTCAGAATAGTTTTTATCAGCATAAATTAGGTTACACTAAATTCAATAAGTTTTGATAAGGTTAACTTATACAAAAAAAAAAACTTGGAATGCTCAGTTGGGATACTGTAATACATAATATCATTTGTAAGATTTGAGGCTTTCACGGCAGTGACTATGAAGAAAGCAGTCTTCTGGGATTTGGCACCGTGTATATGTGGTGTTAACCGACGTTTCGGAGGAACGTATCGCCTCCATCTTCAGGGTAGAAGAAGAAATATAAGAAATCTGCAAGCTAAGAGACCGTGAGAACCGGTAAAAGCAGACTCGTATACACGGTGCCAAATCCCAGAAGACTGCTTTCTTCATAGTCACCGCCGTGAAAGCCTCAAATCTTACTTAAATACACTAGCATGTTTCGTACACGTTTAAAATTGTCTAAAGTTTTCCCGATATTAAAAAAAAAAGGTACGAAATTGAGATATCTGCTGATAGACTAATATCCCTTTTAATATCATTTTCTAAAATCTCTCAGAAAGTTATTTATAGTAGATTATTTCAACATACTAAAGGAAATAATATAACTGCCTTGGATGAATATGGATTCAAAAACAATAGTTCAACAGAACTGGCTACATTTAACTTAACATATCAAATTTTTATCAGAAATTAATAAGAAATCATCAGTTTGTGGAATTTTCTGTGACCTAACTAAAGCTTTTGATACTGTAAATCACATCCTAGTAACTAAATCAGAGTATTATGGCACAGTATATAGATTTGGTGAATTAATTAAATCTTATTTAAGTGATAGGTATCAAAGAGTAACAATTAAGTTGCAAAGACCACAACAGTGATACATACAGAAGAAAACACAACACACAAAAACTACAAATAGCCACAAAAGAGTGCAGTGACTAGTCACGAGATTGAACTAAACATTGACATGCATGAAAGGAACATGGTGAACAAGTGCAGTACAGTGGTCTCCCTCAAAAGAAAAATCACCTGATGATGGCCCATTTGAGGCTGGGACATGTTGCAAAAACCTAGAAAATTACATTTAAACTAGAAACATTTCAGAAATTTTGATAATCACTTTTAATGTATAAAATATACTTTTAGTGTCCTATTGACATTTTAATGATTTTAACATCATTAAGTATTAAAATACATTTTTAGTGAGTGACATATTCTTGATGTCTTTACATTGTTGCATTATTGAAGTGTACTCTAATAATAAGGATAATGCCTCAATGCAACAGGATGCTAAAATATAATAAGTCTAACTAAAGTCTAAAAAGGAGTATATTATTCCGGTATTACATTATTTAACTTTCTACCTCTCAATATCAAGCAAGTTGCACAGGACATTAATAAATTTAAACACAAACTGAGAAAGTTTCTTACAGAAAACTCTTTTTATTCTGTTGAAGAGTATCTTGACAGGAATAATAAATTTGATCTTGGGGTATTCCAGTAATTATAGCTTCGTAATTTAGTTTCTTATATATACACAGTGTGTCCAGGATCCGTTAGGACTGATTTTTTTTTTAATTTTGTCCTGCAATGCCATCTGTTGGCGAGTTGTGGTGTTAAGATTCTTGAAGTTTCAGCTGTGGCTGTCTATAATTCAAAGCACAAGCATTGCTGCATCATGTGTTCTGACCTTGAACGTAACAGTATTGTTCTGACGCTCGTTGGAAATTGGCAGTTGAACAGAGAGCCAACGTCAAATTTTGTTTGAAGTTAGGCCGGAGAAGCATACAAAATGATGAAAAGTGTATATAGTAGTGACTGTTTGAGTCGCTCAAACATTTTCTGATGGTATGCTGTATTTCGTGACAGCAAGGAGGACATTGAAGATGCTTCACGTGCATCAAAGCTGAGAACAAGTCGCACTGAAGAAAATGTGAAAAAAGTGACCAAAATCCTTGCATCAGACAGGTGTGTTCCAGCAGGACTCATCGAGGAGCTTTTGGCAATACCAAAAAGTACTGTGCATCAAATTTTGACCGAGGATTTGGGCAAACGGAAGGTCTGTGCATGGTTTGTACCGCACACACTGTCAGGCGATGAAAAACATGCCAGAGTGGAACACTGCAAAGACATGTTACGGTTGGCCCAAAGTGATACAAAATTTACAAAATCGACTGTTGCTGGTGACGAGACATGGTGTTTTGAATATGAGCCTCTCACAAAGCAGCAGAGTGCAGCATGGTTGAGCCCAAAGAAGCCAAAACCAAAGAAAGTGCACATGCAAAAGAGTCGAGTAAAGATACTGCTAACCGTTTTCTTCGATTCCAAAGGAATTATTCACAATGAATTTCTGCCAGCAGGTCAAAGAGTGAATTCTGATTATTATCTCACAGTCCTCAATCACTTGTGGGCAAGAATTCTTGGAATTCGACCTGAATATCGAGAGCAAGGTTCCTGGTCGCTCCTCCACGACAATGCTCCACCCCACAAATCAAAGATCATGCGCGATTTTTTAGCCAGAAAATGGATCACAGTCCTTGGATCATCCTCTGTATTCACTAGATTTGGCTCCAGTAGATTTCTGGTTGTTCCCAAAAGTTAAGTTGGTGATGAACGGAGACTGTCACGACACCATCAAGGACATCCAAAGGGAATGTAGCGCAGTTTTAAATGCGATTTCACAAAAGGAGTACGGTGACTGTTTTTGAAAACTTTTCAGTCGATTCCAGTTATGTATTGATTCAGAAGGAAACTATTTTGAATAAAAAGAGTGAAATTTTGAAAATAATTCACGTTTTGTATTTTTAATGAACACAGTCCTAACAGAACCTGGACACACTGTGTATATTTTAATTGTTATTTATCTTATGTTAAGACAATCTTATACAATATCTACAATATCTACTGATAATTTCTATATCCAATGGCTGTGTACCTGAATGAATCGATGATTGATAACAAAAAATAAATAAATCAGGCTAAGAAATGACAAACCAAACCCCCCAGAACACAGCAGATGCCAGAAATGATCTCTGCAGTTACATACACATTCCTTGCATGTTCATAGTGTTAGGATTCAAACCATTAAGTCTCTTTTTGGAAAAAGAGGAAACTTGAGGCTTTAAGCTTTGACTGGTGTGCAAGGGATCTAAGGAATTTGTGAATGAAATGTTCTGGCCTATCATAAATTTTATTCATTTCCTCTTCAGTCAGCATTTGGCATTTTGATTTGCTTATTTCTTGTCCAGTAACAATCCCATCTGTCTAAATTCATTTACAATTGCATGAATAGTTTCTTTTCTGTTGGGAAATGTAGCATTTTGAAATTCATGCCAGCATCTTTTCCCTACTTTTCATATGCATATCATACATTAAAATTTGTTTCAGTTTGTAATAATTCTTATGTGCTGTTCTAAGATAAAAAGTAACACAGCTCATTCAACATTTAACACTGTAGAAGGGGTTCGAGATTATGGTCGATAGGCACATAACATATATGCTCACTTTATGGTAAAGTAAAAGTTGTTTCTGTGCTTAAATAATTAAGCAGTATGCCATGAAGGCGTACAAAGAATTGGATGTATAGACCCAAGTTTTCTTGACCTTGGCACTAACTCACTTTACGGTAGTAGCTCAAAACTTTGCTGGGGAAATACTGGAAAGAAGCTGCAATGCCTATAGCCCATCAGCTTGCTAGTACACCACGAATCTGAATGTATGCGCTGCGAGCTGATGTGACTAGCATGTGTCCCAACAGATCAGCTTTAAGACTTTGAGCAAGCTCTCAAGCTCCCTGTAGGAACGCCACTTCAGCCATCTCCTAACAAGTTTATGGTTTCATGTGAAACTTAAACCGCCAATTATTTTAAACTGTTACCTCCCCTTTATCTTCTTGCAAAACATTACTACAAGTACAGTTGAGGATTAAAGTTCTACCGTAACTAGACACACCACCTAATTTTGACAGCTGCAAGAAACCTAAAAATTCTTTTCAATATGGCACACAATTAAAGTGTTAAATTTTTTGTAAGATTTCAAAGCTCTTCCCTCACTGTACATAGCGAGCAAATACCAAACGTACGGAAAAAACTCACGCAAAGAACCATCGGGCCTTCGCACCACATAATGTTCACCAACGTCAAGGGGTTTGTCTGGAGCAGAAGAATCTATATCTTCGTTCCCGTATACTTTCTCGTCCGTGTTGTTTGTAGTTTTTGGCGGTTTGCCTTGGTCGGTAAAAACCACAGATACGTTACTAGACGTATCTCTAAACAACCTAGTATTCATTTTGTAAACACCTCCAATTCGCAAACAGTAAACACAACACTTCCATGCACTGTTTGTAAACAAGTGCAGAAATGAAACTTCGAGAATCAAAATATCTGATATTGAGCAAAACACCAACCTAGATTTATTAAATATTCCTTAAGAGCAGAGACTAATAGCGTATTGCATAGCCCTCACTGTACTTAGTTTTCTTCCGAATATACGGTCAACGCATGTGTCCACCTCTCGACGAATACACATACAGAACCGTTGACAGAATACTGCCGCAACAGGGAATTGCTATGTCGATGTGGGTGTAAACTACAACAGCGAATATTTGCAGAATCGCCAGGTTGGATTGCAGTTATCCTATTAGTGATTCATGGTGACCACTATCGACCACTAAGGTTGTAACCAACATTGAAATAAGGAAAGTCTGAGCTTCTGCGGTCTGAGCCGTCTGAGCGGTCAGAGTGGTCTGTAGGTGGGATGATTTATAGGTTAACGAAGATTTTGTTGATTTGAAGTGGAATTTGGGGCTAAGGAGCCGTTTGATTTGGGGAAATTAGCAATACATATGTATTGTGCACCTACGTAAGGCGGAAAAGAAACTCAAACATTGTCATCGGAATGTGTATAACGATGTACAGTTTTTGTTGTAAAGCACTTCACTATGTTGCCACCAATTTCGTGTGAGCTAATAAAGGCTTTTGTTGCAGCAGTGCTTTTAGGTGATATTGCGTGTACCCATTAATGACAGTGGAAATATGACATCGCAGCTGTCAGATGAAGAATTTCGAAGACTACAAGTACGTAAGGAATAAATTATTCTTCAGTGTGTAATGAGAATCGATTTACATTATTTTATCATTTAATTTTGAATAGCCCTCATGGTTTCATTGTGCTGTATTTAGAAATCCGATGTAGGTACATTAGTTGTTAGGTGAAGACTGAAAACAAATTTCAGGTACTGGAGATAATGAAATTTACCAATTTACTCATTGAAGGTGTTCGTTGTGAAGAAAATCTCTGCATATTATATTAATCCCAGTGTAGGAGGCAGACAGGATCTCGAAGTACCATGTGAAAACTCATGAATTTACTTTTGTAAATCATGGTTTCATGATCGTTTACAGCATGGTCTTCCATATTTCTGTGTCCTCATTTGGTACTGAAACGCGCTACGATAAAGTCTGTTGTGAATGTTACAAAAAGAAAGGAGAAAAGAGTTTTCATTTAATATTATGTAATTGGAATAGAATATGACTCATTTTTCAGACCAAAACATTTTGAATGTATTTTTAATTAACCTGTATTTTATGGTTGTAAGAAGACCAAAGTCTTAAAGATCTGTAAGAGAATGGAGAAAGTGATACTGTTTTGAGTGATGCATTGAGTGGAGATGGACTGTGTTGTTAACATTTCAGAGAAACATGCTCCCTCTGCCTTGAGGAGAGGAGGTGGCAGGTTACTCAAAAATGGAAATACAACCCACTTTCACAAGACACTCACTTCAAAACAGGATCAGTATTACAGTTGTATCACTATGAAAGCATAGGATCTCTAAGTGGAGATCATACCATAGAAATACAGTTGTACATGAAACTGCAGGTTAGTATTTTTACAATTATTATGTCAGGTTTACAAGTCAGCAGTTTTTCATATACTGTATCAATATATTAGGAGCCAGAACAGCTCAAAAGTGCAGCAGACTTCAGATTATTTTGCTCAAAGTGGAAAATCTAATGTGCTCCCATTTTACATTCTTGACCAGTCTGAAATGTACCTTATATATATACATATTTTAGTCATTGCATGACTACTACATACATAATAAAAGGGATTTCAAAATTGCATAAATGTCAATTTGGTTTATAATGTAGGTACTGAAGTTGCCTCCTGACACTTACTTTGTATGGAGGATCCCTTGTATTTAATGAGTACCAGGAATCTTCCTGGTGGGTAAAGGGTGGCCACCGCAAAAGGCTCACAACCTCATCACAATCTGTGATTGTGTAGAATATGTGGCAGTTTTGACATCTCACAACCCTATGGGCCTCCATAGCCTGTTACAGAGATAGCTTTACCTTGTCATACAAACATATGGGGGGTGGAGGTATAGCTCCATCATTCTTGACCTTGGTACTAGATAGAGATGAGTGGTCAGCTTCATGCTCTGACCACTTTACTGCAGGAAAAATCACCCTTGGTACCCATTGAATAGAAGGCTGAGTAGGCCCCAGAGCCAGTCCGGATGCTGTAGAGAAGAGAAAAATTTTGCCATGCCAGGAATGGAACCCTGACCATCCAGCCCTTAGCCCATTGTTATACAGACTGAGCTATTCCGACTCCTACTAAAGGTGTGTATGTATGCAATATGTTCATATAGTTGCAGTCATAAATGCTGATATCTTAAGGTAGTTTCATCATACACAACTGCTGATAAAACAAGGCTGAGGCCTATGAGTGGGTACATATGAAAAATAACGAATAATAACAATTCAAGTGCCATAGACAGAACTAAGGTAAGTTGGCTGAGTAATTCAGTATTAATGTTCTGGAGCTGAGCACAACTGGAGAAATCCAAAGAAAATTTTAGAGTACCTCAACCGAACATCATTAGAATTGTCACTTTTTGGATGTACACCCAGTTATCTGGGTGACTTAACCTGCTCTTCTCCACTCCAAATCACAGATTACCATCTCACCAAATGTAAATTCACCAGTAGAGATGACCGCAATGGATGGGGTGAAAAAAAAGAAATAATTCAGGGTTAGAGAAGTATTGGAAAGCATTGTGTCGAATAGGATGCCAAGCTACTAGTGGCTCAAAAATTTAACCCCTAGGCCAGTGCTTGGCTCAGTATGCAGTTGTTTGTGTTTTGAAAGCCACAGCACCAGTGTGATTGCCATTATCTATGTGTTGAATTGTATTTCTCTGAAATAAACCTGCTACAGTTCACCGTGGATGCTATGGTCCTCTTTAGCCATTTCGGAAGGGTGGCTGGTTTATTGGCGAGACCAATTTATTAGCATGTTATGACTTGTTTTTTGTATGTGGACAGAAAACAATTGTCTTGTTGTTGCTTACATTCAGTTGGGATGACCAGAAGGGAACAAGGTCACCACAGGAGGCAAGTCTGTAGTTTTTTGAAGATGTGAATTTTGTGTTCTTGACATGAGTAGCTGTCCTAAAGTGTCATCAGAATTTTGTAGCCGGGCCGTAAACTAAAGAAAATAACGCTCTCACATGTGGGGTTCCGAGTTCTGTACCTTGGGAACTGTTTAATTCTCAAGCGCCTTTATGTGATTGGCTTGCGCTGATTTCATGATGAATTTGGCTGTTTAAAATCAATGAATATGAAATGAATTCTTGTCTGGGAGGGAGGCCGTCGATTTGAATCCTTCTTGGGGGATGAAGTGATGCTCCCGCAGGATACCAGTCTTCAAAAAAACTTGGTGTCTTGAATTGATCTTAGGCAGACATCATTGAGCTGCTCTCCTGTGTTTCTCTCAATTCATTAGTCCTTCACTTTGAATCATTAAAAATTTTATAACATTAAAGGGCCACATTACTCCATGCTTGCAAAGGAAGTTATAATATTTTGCTTCTGAATAAATGGACAGTTTGTGGACAGCAGAAGTTTTGTTGTTATTTTGAGCAGTGGACTGACTTCAAGTGAGTAGTTTCCGGTTGGTACAGTTATTGCCATAACACAATCCTGATAGGAGTCAAGTGGTCTACCGAAGCCGGCACATAAGTACAAAGAAAGAAAAAGGGGACAGTAACAACCTTAAAGCCTGAAACAGTTGAGAAACCTAAACATTACAGAGCATAGGGCACTTTGAAGACATAGCAGTTTAAAGATCTATCAGAGTGACTGCATAATTGTATGTAACAATATTTAATGGTTAAACTTTTTTGTTTCCTAGTGCCTTTTGACTCACAGCTTTAAAGGTTTGAATTTGATGATTAAGTTAAATACAGCCGTTCTTTGTTTCTTTTATAGACACAACTTATTGAGCTAAGAACTGCTAACTATGGGTTAGAGGAACAGTGCACAAAATATAGAAGTGGTAAGTTGAAGGTGCTTAGAGACTGGTATATGGTTGTGGATTGTTACATATGGATCATACTCGTATATAAAAAATATTTGCTAAATTGCCAGCTTGGTCCCTGAATAGAGATGCAAGTAGTTGTGTAATATGATAATTCTTGAAGCAGTCAGTAGTAAGTATTAGATAATAAATGTTTTTTAGCCATCGGATGTACCTATTATAAAATGGATGCAAGCCACATGTTACAGAATGAAGGTATTCTACATAGGAACACTTCTTTTCTTTTTGACCAGATTTTTCGAAAACTGAATTTTGTTTCCAAGCATCCAGGTTTTCATATCTTTTCATGGCTGATCATATAATCTACATATTTTAGATTTTGTATATATACTGGTGTAACATCCATTGAGAATTCAGTGGGAAGTTTCATCATTTGTTATGTAAGCTTTTATGCTATGAGCTTACCCATCTTTCTTCGTTATTTCTTTCAAGACCTCCATGTTATGAAGTAAAAGGTCAAGGCTGAAACTCCCATGAGTAACAGCACAGATAGTCAGTTGTAAGCTTTCTTCTTTGTACAGCATACTACACGTCACATACCCCTATCAAAATGTTATCAATACTCCCAGGATAAACATGATACACTGAAATAAAAAACTGCTCATCCATTTGTGACCCACTATGTACATTAACATTTACATTTATTTATCATTTCATGGATCCAATCATCTCCCCATAGGGCTGGATATGAAACATGTCACATATTACAAATTCATGATGACTACACATCATTCGTCCTTGGTCCAATAAAATATAAACTCAAACCTGAGACAGAATAGCTCAAGTTGTCAGGACAGCACACACAGGTCATGGAAAAACCACAATCAAATTCACACCTTGCCATTCGACACACACTCGCAAGCCATATCATCCAAACAGTTACATTATAAAATATTAAAATTCATAACAAAAAACGGGCTTCATACATACTACTACACTTACAACAAGCAATTCTCAGTGATGTACAATTCATGCACACAGACCATTTATTAACTCTTAACTTTTGAGCCGCTTACATGCTTGACAAATTCATTAATTGAGTAAAATGTGTTACTTTGCAAATAAGTTTGTAAAGCAAACCTAAATTGCTTTTTATCATTTTTTAAAACTGTGATATTTGATGGGAGAGTGTTAAATAGCTTTACACCTGAATAATACACCCCTCTCTGATAGGATGATAAATGTGTTGAAGGTATATGAAGGTGGTCATTCCTTCTGGTACCAATCACATATATAGAGTTATTGGTTTGAAATTTGTAACTTACGTTCATGCACCGTTAATGCTCAACAGTTCATTGCTGTGGCTTATAGCACTGATCTCATTTTACTAAATGTTTTTATGCATAGAGAGAGATATTGCATTGGAATCTAGGTATTACAGTAAAAATCTGAAATCTGTTAGTACCAGTTCTTGCTAGTAAAAACTGGTACTCTTTAAGAACAGTTGATAGTACCTGTGAAGAACTGGTAGAGTTGAAGAAGAATTGAAGTTGAAAGACAGTATTTTTTGCACTTTTCAGTAAAAGGTAATTCTTACATCTTCATTAGTTAGAAATAGTTCTTTTGATTATTGTTGTGAAGAATCTCCCACATTTATTATTGAGATTTTATGAAGACTGCTAGAACAGGATATTTTGCGAAATTGTGATGAATCAGAATAATTAACTTTCCATTTGTTTTATTTTTATCAGAATTTTCCAAGAAGTTCTGTATATGAAAATCATCTTGGAAAGAAACTGACATAAAAATGAATTATATGTATGAAAGGAGACCAAAATGTATTATTGGATAAAGGAAAATTCCCAAATATCAAAAGCTAGATAATAAATTTCAGTAAAATGTTCCAAGTTAATTCCTGTTTACCTGTTTTCCCCAAGCTGCTATAATGACATTTCAAAATGCATGGAATTTTCTTCTTCATGCACAAGAACAAATTTGAGCCACAGTGTTTTATATAGTGCCTTTATTGTATCCTCAGCCAGATCCCACAGCAGTCATGGACAGTGTTGCAGTATACCTGAAAGATTTTTCGTTTCCTTTAGTCTCATCAGTTATGGTATTAAATTTTGTTTGCAAGTATGGAACTAAGATCTTGAATACAAATTCATTAGGGCATTTTCTTGAGTTCCCAGTTTATACATCCCATCCTCAGTTCTACTTAAAGTCACAGTGACAACATTCTGGTATGACCCTTTTGTATTTTCACTGGCAGGAATAGTAACAGTAACATTCTGACAAATTTTAGTTGATAGATTTGCTTTGTTAGATTTTTTATTCATGCACTTTATATAATTGTACAACCATAAAATGTCTAAAAATAGCTGATAGTGCAGAACAGTAGTACATGACTTAAAGGATAAATCAAAATGCAAAAAAATATTTTTCAGAGTGGGTAATATGTAATGAAATCCAAGGAAAATAAATTTCTAACTTGACTGTGATTAGTTTCGCAACAGTAGATTTGTGTGTGCAATAAATGAACATAAAGGCCAATAATGAATAAAAATTAGTAGAGGATGCATTTGGACTATGTGTACTTCATTGGAATGCATTTTCATTACATGAAGTCAGTACATTTCAGAGGTAAGAATCATGTTATATGATTGTAAAAAATTTGTAATAGTATTGCATTGTAGTACATTTTACAGGCAGATGCCAGAAATATTTTTTGCAATTATGTACACATTCCTTGCACCTCCATAAAATTTGAAGTTCATTTCAGGAAACAGGGCAAACTTGAAACATTTAAATCTGAAACTTTAAGCCTTGATCTCATGTGAAAGGGGTATAAGGGATTTTTAGGAGACTCTTCAGGCCTAGCACCAGTGTCCTCCATTTTATTTTCAGTGAGCATCCAGTATTTTGTTCTGCTTGTTTTTTATCCAAGTACTCTGTTTAAACTCGTTTACAATTCTATGAATATTTTTTTTCTATTGGGACCTGTAAAAAAAGGTGAAGTCCCTGAGCCTAACTAATTAAGCCATGAAGGTGTATGGGAGAGTGGATGTATGGATCCATGTATTCTTTACATGGGCACTAGTTGGAGGTGGGTGGTCAGCTTCACACATCAGCTGCTTTACCCCCATAGAAAGAGTCCCAATTACCCATTGGATAGGAGATTGGGTGGGCCTGGTCTGGATGATGTGGAGAAGAGAAAAATCTTACGTATACCAGGACAGAAATTCTGACCCCTCGGGCATTTAACCAGTTGCTGTACCGATGGTACAGCGCATTATTTACATGGGTATCATACAAGAACTCCGTGATTTAGTCCGCAAGCAAACTGTACTGACATGAACACTTGTTTTAACTTGTGACTCTCACCTGTTATTTTGACATAAGAAGTAGCTGTTCACAGCTTTAGTGGAGTGATGCTGGAAGGAAATTGTAATATGTATAGGCTGTTGGCCTATTGAGTACACAGTCAGTCTGAAGGCATAGACTCCAGGTTGGTGTGAATAGCATGTCCCTCTTACTAGACAGTCAAAAGATTTGTATCAGGCTCTCAGATAATCTCCTCGTATTTTATTATATGTAGAAGCTTATTTTAGAAGTTTTTTTTTTCATATTAGTGTTATTGTTTTTGTTATTGTTGTAATCACGAGTGCTACTTTTATAATTAATTGTTAAATTGTTCATTTATTCAAAATAGATAATCAGGCTTTGTCTTCAAAACTTGGAGCTCTAGAGAGAGAATACCAGAAAGCGCAGAAATCTATTGACAAAAGTAAGAAAGCGAAAGACATAGATCTACTTCTGAATGAAAATGAAAACCTTCAGGCAAAACTTGAAGCTCAGGAAGATGACTTCCGCCTGCAAAATGAGACCTTGCTTCGGGAACTTTCTTCTGTAAGTAAGGCTGTTGCTATGAGAGTTTGTTGTGGCACCTGTTTGTAGCTTCCTTTAATGTGATATTGACATCCTAATTTTATAGATCCATGTTAAGTAGCAGATATGGTTTATGTCAGGGCTATGCTGATTTTGCATGCACATCATATTAAACATTGTTTGGAGGACATGGGGCTGAACCAGTAAAAAAAATGTAAATCTATCCATGTAATGGGCCATGGAGGCCCATAGAGTTATGAAACATTGAGGCTTCCACACTTTTCTAGACAGTCCACTAACAGATGACAGTGAGGTTGTTAGCCCTATGCACCTACTACTCTGTATCCCCAGGAAGATTTCCGGTACTCAATAGTGTGGCTGGAAGGATTAGGTTGATTGAAAAATCCAGTAATCTCATCAGGAATCGAACCTGTGACCTTCCAGCTTGTAGCATAGCGCCTCAGCCAATTATGCTACTGCATGCCCCCAGGCTGAAGCAGTGGGCTTAATAATTTTATGCACAAATCAAAAGTAATAAACTTATTTCACATATGCCATGACATCACCACAACCACTCCTGACACCACTGCTTCTACATTCATTGATCCAAGGTACTGCTGATGGAAAGATATATATGGGATTTGACTTCTGCATATTTAATACTGCAACAACAAATTAATTTCATATTACAAAAAATTTACTATCCTTGGTATGAGTGAAAATTTTCTTTGTTTGCAGTTAACTGAAACAAATGATAAACTTCAACATGAGTTAGCTGTATTGAGAACATTAAATGATGCAGCTAATGCCACAGGAAATTCAGCAGAATTGGAGAGAGAGGTATGTTAATATTATAGTGTGTAGACCTGTAATTAGGTTGTGACCACAAAACAAACAGGTTGCCATGGCAATGAGTCCATACTCAACAATAGAGAGAGTTCTGGATACAGTGTTTTCTGTGTGGTCCATGCCAAGGGGTTCTGTAGTAAGGACACCAGCTGGGCATTAGGCAGATGAAAGTTGGTCTGTGAAGAGAAGACTAGGAGTTTGGTGTGAGATGGCTGTCAGCCTGAGAGTTAGTCATTTGGAGCAGTAGTTAATTTGTGGGGTATTTGCCGGATGGTAATGACGTGAGCACAGTAGCTGGAGAATTTCCATCGTTGAGATCTGTTACTGGGACTGAACAGACTGAAAAGGTTAGCATATGCTTTAGTGATTTGTAAAGCCTGGAGATTAGCGATAATGTTATAGTTATTATTATTTTTATTATTATTATTGGAGGGGGTGGGTTTCCCCATGCACCGCGACCAGTGGTCTATTGTACGCCCCCCTGTGATATTCTACCAGTCTCTGTACCCTACCGATACTGGTGCGTGCCATCAGTCCCGACTCAGCCAGCGAGTTCGGCCTCTACTGGCTCAGCGGTATCTAGATGCTTCCCCCATCTACTAGAGGCGTTAGAGACTATTGTTGGGCGGGAAATGTCCTTAATAATTTGGCTCAGAGGCCTCCTTGGGGCATGAGGTTCTTTTACATGCCATAAAGCTATGACACGGGACCCATGGCTTAAAGTCCCTCCCGAAGGACTTGTTCCCTGAATTTTTCTGCCCTTAAAAATTCCACGACCTCCACTGGGTTTGAACCCGCGTACCTAGAGTCATGAGGTGGGAACTTTACCCCTAGACTACGGAGGCCGCTTAATGTTATAGTTACTTGTGGTTATGATCTCTAAGTGATCAGTAAATCCAGTCCAAACTCCTTGTATAATCACTCCCTAATGTGACAATATGTAAACCAGTTCTGGGATGAAGTTATAATGGCTACTTATCTTAAAATGGTTTATTCTCTGTGGTGAGAATGACAAGAACTATATATAATAATTACACAGTTAATGATATTGTAGCTTGTAGACCTATTGTTAAGTAATGACTATAAACAATGCCTGCTGCTAGGCAATGACCACAGAATAAGCAGCTATATGGCAGCCATTACTAAGTAACAACTTCGTAAACAAACATGTTCCCAAGGAAGAAAGTGAGCTACAGAACTATAACAATGAGGAGTGGTGTTTTCTACACGCTCCATGCCAGGGTGTTATAGGCAGGACAGGTCTAGAGTTTAGTTAGTTGAGTTGGGAGTCGGTTGGTAGGAAAAGGCTGCCAGCCTGGGAATTAGCGCAATGCAGCTGAATACAGTGGAGGTAGTGAGCCAGAGAACTGCAGTTCAATCGTTGTGAGCGGTTTCTGTTAGAAGTTGGTAGCTGAGGCAACTGGATAGCATGGGAACCCAGAGTAAGGAGAATGTCTGCTATTAGAAGCTATTACCAGGCAACGACATGTGAAGACACTGCAGGCTGAAAAGATTTAATGCTTGTTGTATTGAGTTGTAGAGTATGTGAATTAGCAGTAGTGCTGTAGGTACTTGTAGGTATGATTAGTAAGTGTTAAATAAATCCAGTTACTAATCTGAACCCCGTCTGTAGTCACTCAATCATGTGACAGTATTATAATGTTTATCATGTTTTGGAAGAGTTATTATCTCACTGTCAGTAACCACTTATGATCTTGATATCAGTTCTTTTGTGCCCACTACTCTTCCTCCTGCACTGTCCTAATCTTCTGTCTTGCATTGAAGTAATCTGTGATCCATTCCATGCACTCTTCTGCATCGGTGTTGACATATGTCCATGCTAGCTATCCACACTCAACTAAGACAAGTCAGGACTGACCTAATTTGGGGCTAGCAGCCACTGTTTTATGCATGTAATCTTTCTCGAATTGTGCACCTTTGTGAGCAAACAAGGCTTTTGTAGAAAAGACTAGAGAGAGATGGGGGAAGAGTTTTGATGTGTCCAGAAATAGACGTGAATGCATGCCAGTGTGTGGACCCTCCCCTTGCCCTTAGTTCACATGACAATATGTATTTGTGTATAAATTCCACTGGCAGAGATTCTAACTATATCAGATTTGACATGTAGGCCCTCTGTACTGAGATTTTTCATGCTGTGACCATGGTTGTAATTGTTGCATATATAGCATATTTATCATGCAGAATTTATAGCAGTATTTACAGAATCCATGAAGAGATTCATACACCTAGTTCCAGTGGTTTTTTAGTTGTAGCAATTGGCCTAAAACAAAATGCAAAATTTGTGTGGCTGCTGTATTATTTTACATTCTCACAAAGTTATTTAATGTTGTATTTTTTAAGGTTTAATAGTACACAAAAGTCAGGTCTCTGTTAAGATAGGCAGTGTCATTCCCACTTGAGAAACTTATAAGCCCACAATGTTGATGTGGTCTCTTATGACATGTTAATGGAGAATTTCATGGAAGTCTGTCAAGATATGCAGGCACAGGGGCATGTTACCATAAGCCAGTTTGTGCTATGGAATGTAGGCTACAAATCAATATTTTTCTAATTTTGTAATTATTTATTTTTATGGTATACCAGTAGCAATGTTTTACACCTGATTTTTAGCCTTTCCTTATTTTGAAAAAATTAAAGTATTTTGTAATCTCCATGGTGTCTGTGTATCCCCTTCTCCCATAACCTTTTGAATGGCTGAATCAATCTTTGTGAAACTTGCTGTCCATATCATGGCACCTGAACCTCTCTCAGTGGCATACTTCATGAATCTCTCTCATCAGTCTGTGTCTATATATGTGTCTCCCTGTTGTTGCTAGGCAGTGGCTTGGTAAAAATCACCCTGTCATTGTAAGGCAGCAGCTTGGTAAAAATGTTACCATGGCAAATGAATATGCACCCAACAGTTGAAGAATTGTTGGACGCATCATTTTCTATGCAGTTCATGTTGTCTCATGGAAAGTACATGATTAATTCTTCCCAGAATTTTGTGTTAATTTGGAATATGAAATGATGTTCTTCCCTGGTTCTCCCCTTGTTCTTCCCCTAATCTGTCTCTTAGAGAGTAATTTAAATATGTTTTAAAGGAAAAGAGCTTTGCAAGTCATACCATCCATATTAATCTTCTGTTTTCATAAATTTTAAAACCAGGATATAAGATAATGCATTGAATTAACTCTATCTCCCTTTTCCACAGAGGAGTGAGAAGGGAGTAGTTTTTGCAAATGAGAAACACTCACCTGAGTTGAATATTATTAATCATTTTTTAACATTTTTAAAAAATTAAGCTGTATGATTAAATAAAATTTTAAGAAAATTACAAGAAACTACTCTTTTTTTTTTTTTAGTATTATACATTTGTGGTAATGCAGGTGTGTGTATGTATGTATGTATCGTAAAAAGTGATAACTTCAATAGCCATTTCTGAATAATAAATTGTCTTGTATTAAATGCAGGGTCATCACTTACAAGTGGAGAAGACAGGGTTGACAAGTATTCTAGTTAGGGAACATAGAAAGGCAGAGATAAAACTTGAGGAACTGAGAGAAATTATCCAGTCATTCAGTATTGCAGGCTGCCAACAGAAAGAAGCAGGTGCAGAACAGGGTAACAGGTAAGTGTAAATATCAGCTGCTATTAATCCTTTCATTACAGAAATCAGCTACTTCGAGAGGTGTTTGTTTTCTAGTTTATTTAACAATGCGTTCTCAATTTCGTAGGACATGCAGTGTTATTTATATATATGTATATTATTTATTATACTGCAGTTGGGTTTTAGCCCAGTGGCAGTAGTACACAATAGGACACAACAGACAAGTAACACATTACACTAAGCGACAACACGTTCAAACAAAACACAACACTAAGGACATCCTACCACAGTGAATACAAACCAAATACGATTAACAACTACAACAATTATAGAGAAATACAAACAACTGCAACAAATACAACAACAACAACAACAACAACAAGGACATCCTACCACATATGGGAGGATGATTGTGAATGAGTAATTGGGAAGGATATGTGAAGAAGTGTTTGTAACAGTTTTGAGGTACTGTCGCACAAGTTTGGAGGAACTGAGGTGTACCATTCAAAGTGAGAACTTCTCAGTCAGGATATCCACCATCTGGGTCAAGAATTGATTCCCACACTTTATGAATATGAGTCAGATCAATACATGACAGCAGTAAGAGATGTTTCTTTCTTTCTTCCTTCCTCACATTTCATCTCTTTCTTTCTACCATTTACTAGTGGTATCAGATGTCAGTCTTGAAGCAGGTTCTTATCTCATTGACTGCCAAGCCCTGCTGCCTGCTAAAAATGTAAAGGCTGTTTAGGGATAAATGCAGTTGCACAGAAAGACTCACAATACTTCTTTTAAATGACATTTACACTACAGATACGTATGTATCATATGAAAACCTGTTCCTTCCTCTAAACATTATTCTGTTACACTTCATGCCATCTGTTGACATAAAGTGGTGCTAATTTATTAATGGGCAGATCTTTTCAGGTGTGGTTTTAATACAGTCATCCCTAGCTGATCTAGTGGTATGTGGAATGTTTATGCATGTGAGAATGTGCTGTAGGATTCAGATTGTCCCAGAAGTTAATTCAACTGACCGTGAAAATCTGATGTCAAATGTTAAAAGTTGAGCTTTGGTATATATGGTAATGAGGATCAAAATGGCAAATTTCTTAGCAAGTGTGAGAATTGTTAATCTGTAAAGCAAACAGATTAATGTGCTGTACTATTTTTGTTTTTGATACTAAGTAATGGGTAGTTAGTATTACTGGGTTTTCTATGCTTTATCTATCACCTGGTATTCCAAGCAGAATGTAGTATTTCAGAAACTAAGTCTGTTTCTATGCCCAGAAGAAAATCTGGCTCCCGTACTCGTTAAGTAAAATTTAGTAGGCTTTCCACCTTTCCATCTGAGGATGGAAACAGTCAGTTTTCAAAATATATTCTGTATGGAATACAGATAATTGACAAAATCCAGTAACCTAATAATATGAAATGTGATATACTACCATTAGAAACCTTTAGAAATGCTGGGCCTGCTCGTTAAGAAGTGTGTTATGGCACTTTGAAACTTAATTTTAGTTCCAAGCATAATATATTTTGGGTACCATGTCTGCAACAAGTTTCTTTTATGGTATCCTTTAAAAGAAAATAAATGGGAAGATAATTAATTTTTAAATACAACTGTTAATTTCAAATCTTAAATCATTCATATGCTTCCAGTGTACCAAGTAGTGAAGGAGATTTTGTTCAAGTAGATGAAACAGATGTTGCTTATCAGAAGCAAGGAACAAAACAGACAGATCTTTTAAAAGAAGCTGAACAGACACTTCAGTATTTGGAAGCATACCAAAAGAACATAGGGGGTAAGTTGGTATTTATATTTGATGACAGTTTTGATCATTATTAAAATCTGCTGAAATATAGATGATACAGAAACTTCTCATACAATTAATTTTGTAATAAGTATTTCAGGAAACTGAACTATAAATGAAACAGAAATTGTTCTCATTTTGTTGCTCAGGACACAGTCAGGAGCATGTGAAATTTAAAAATAGACATTGCCCACAATGAAGTTCAGTCACACCTTCTGAGTTTTCAGTACAGCATTTCTCTTTCTTAGGATTGTTGACTCATTTTGAAGCTGAGAAAGAGGAGAAAAAGCAAGTTCAATCTGAAGTGAAACAACTGCAGAATAAATTACATAGAAAACAAGAGTCCCTTTCGCAATTGCAAGAAGAAAGAGAGAAGTTATACATAGAAAGCAGGTAGATACAGCAAATTATTCAATATTCTTATCTCTTACAGTGTAACGTCTACTTAAGAAATATCAGTGCACTTGAACCAAGACAGAACAAGTATGACTTATAATCAGAAAAAATATTGGCTTTGTGAGTTTCTTAATGTGACATGTATAGAAAAATTATCTAAAATTATGGCATTATTCTGGTCCTTTATCGTAATTAGCAACTACTAGCCAGTTGCAACTCCTTTTTGGCACAGTGTTTTGTGATTTTACTAATCTGTTGTGATATGAAGCAGTAAAAGACATATTTTACACTATTCTGTGAGCATGTACCATTAATGTGACAAGTGTGATCTTGAAGAATTCCATCATCTTGGAAAGGGCACCGCATAGATATTATGTGAACTGACATTTTGGAGGAATGCATCGCGTCCATCTTCAGGGTAGAAATATCTGCCAGCGAAGAATAGGTGTGAGAGGTGGTTAGAAATCTGCAAGATCCTCATGGTGCCACGTCCCAGAAGACAGTGTTCTTCATAGGCACCACTGTGAAAACCTCACATTCTACAAATATGATCCCGTTTTATGATTGCAATGCATAAACATAGCGGCTGTAACAGCAATGTCTTTTCTGAGATGGGAAGTAATTTACCATGTGACACCACCTGGTCTCCATAGCATTTTACTGTTGACTTCAATGATGCCAGTCGTAGGTGATGGAAATATATTTCTTGACAGTCTGTGTCACTTCTCTGCACAATAAATTACACAAATTCCGTCCCAAGTGCAAACAATATATATTATATGTCTTTGATCTTGTTCTTTCTACACTACATGTTTCGGCCTCTATCGGCCATCATCAGGTGTATACTCTTAACGTTGCTGCCACACTGAACCCAGTCTAAAATTTAACATTTAACAACACAATGTCATATTCTTCGTGTTATCAACATCTACATCGTTGATATATGTCTGGTATGTAGATTATGTTGCACACGTCAAATTTGATATTCTTGTAGTAGCACTTTAAAAATCTTTAGTTATGATGTTTTTAAAACCTTTTAAAATTTTCTCTAAATTTTAAATTTAAAATTTAGAGAAAATTTTAAAAGGTTTTAAAAACATCATAACTAAAGATTTTTAAAGTGCTACTACAAGAATATCAAATTTGACGTGTGCAACATAATCTACATACCAGACATATATCAACGATGTAGATGTTGATAACACGAAGAATATGACATTGTGTTGTTAAATGTTAAATTTTAGACTGGGTTCAGTGTGGCAGCAACGTTAAGAGTATACACCTGATGATGGCCGATAGAGGCCGAAACATGTAGTGTAGAAAGAACAAGATCAAAGACATATAATATATATTGTTTGCACTTGGGACGGAATTTGTGTCATTTATCGTGTAGAGTGCAACAGGATGCTTAAATATAATATTGTCTCTGCACAAGTAATTATAATAATTTTGTTGGGTATCCTCGGAATAAAATTTTCACCATTCTTAAATCAGGGTGCAATTAAATTCTGGCAGCTCTAGATCCTGTATTACAACACAGGGAAACTAAGTAATGTGATTGAAATCTGAAAGGTTCATTGATGAGTCTTTACTGTATACTTTGTGTTTAAATATTAGTTATTAATAGTACAAACATTTGGTTTTTCTTCCTAGCTTCGTGAGCAGGTCTACATAGTTTGCTGTTTCACATGGAACAGTGTTCTATGAAGGCTATTTGGAAAGTAATTTCCATTTATTTTATGTAACTGATATAGGAGTGGAGGAGAGCTCATGCATACAAGGTAGCGTCATATCACCTTGGATATATCGAGTCCTTAGTGTACTTGTTTTTTTTTTTTGTTTTTTTTTTGTCTTTTTCTGTAGGGACAGCAATGAGCAGCTACAAAGAGAAAAAGAGCAGGAAGTGGTTATGTTAAAGGAACAAAATCAGAGGCTACAGGTTCAGTTAAACAACACACAGATTTCTCTGCATGAATTAAAAGAAAGATCATCACAGCGTATTCAAGAACTTGAGTCTCATGTTTCTTTGCTAGAAAGAAAGGTAAGTTTTTTCTCTGTTGAACTTAGAAATGACCAGATAATTCTTTCTAGCAGCCAGGTAAGAAGTTTGTTTATTGCTTCATATGCAGTGTATCCTTCCATTGGTAATAGTGCATTTTGTTAGCATTCAGAAACTTCCATATAACCTGACAAAATTTTGTGGTAATGTTTAGAAATGTTTGGGCTGAAGCATGCCTTATATCCATGTACATAGGTCTGTACATGCCTGTAATATACATGTTAATATTGTGACAGATACCCATTGCTATGTAGTGACTCGACAAACATATTCCCGCACAAGCCAACTTGTGTGACAATAGGATGTCTGTTGCTAGGCAGCGGCATGGTAAACACACCTTATCAATAATACAGCTGTATTTTCTGCAAGGTCCATGCACAGTGGTTATAAGGAAGTGTTTGGAAGTACAGAACAGTAGTTGAAGATTAAGTGAAGAGTCAAGTTTTGAGATGCCAGTCTGCCAGGATATGAGGTTGGGAGCAGAGGAATTGAATTGAGTCAAGTCTTTGGAATTGGCAGCTACAGAATAATGGCAAAGAAGGAGTGAAAAGAAGAATTCATGTGTGATTTTAAGTGACAGACTGCTGTAAATCTGTTGCCAGGATGTTACTAGTGAAGACTGAGAACCCTAGTATGTGTGAAGCAGTGAACAGCGAAGTGTGTAGATGAGCGATAGCGCTGTATTGTCTGTACTCCTGAGAACTGTGTATAAGGTGTCAATAAGTCCAATCTAAAACCCATCTTATAAGTCATGCAGTAGTTGGTGACTCCATTGAACATGGGATATTTTCAGCACCGTTTATGTGAGCAGGGATGCAAAAATAATAACATTTTTTGGCATGGTGCCTCATAAGAAATTGTCATAACTTTTGTTCTCTGCAAGCTGCAGGTTTCATATGGGGCTTTTTTTTAAAGCTGATGAAATTTTCTCTTCATGGATATGTATTCATGAGTATATTCTGACCCTTTGCAGCAGTGTCAAATGCTACAGTTTACTTGTGACAGTGAATCTTTTCTGACATGAATCATGCTTGTCAGTACTTTTATTTGGTTGTTAAATGTTTTATGAAAACTTAGTTGTCTAAGAAAAACATATCTACACAGTGCTGCCACCCCTTTAAAGAAGAAGGACACTCTGCTTATAGGAAGAGCCTAATAAATGTTCCTTTATGGATTATATGAAAGAATGCCATCTTTAAAAAGTGGATACAAGGTGTGTGAGAAATATAGGGAAAAGCTTCCCTGTTACATTGCTAATTGAGTAACCAGTTGTTAAAGCAAGTGGATGTCTCCTCAGATGAAACTGATAGTTGCAATGAAATAAGTGCATATAGCAGAGAAGCAGCTGTGGAGTCATTAAATGAAGCCTTCAGTGTAGCCAAATCACCATTCAGATTGAAAAGATGAGGGAAAACAAAGTATACTGCAACAAAACTGCATGAAGTTGAAAATGCTGTAAGGAAATAGATCTTCAGAATTTCATCAGATGATAGAACATCAGCTCTGCCTGCAAGGTATGGTTCTATCATATTGCAGCAACAGCAAGCCAGCTTCAGTTGCTTTTCTGACTAATGTCAGGTTGATCTTCAACTGCATTAGCAAGGTGCTGTTCTGCCACAATATCAAGTTTGTCAGCCTCCTGCTGAGGAAGATATCTATTTGTCTTTGGCCAGTGAAAGATGACCTGGGACTGAGGCCACTGAGAGGAGTGTACGGTATTCCCTATGAATGCAGTCAGGTCTGTATTAGACTGACAGGCCATTTAATCCACACCAGGTTGAAGGAACACTTATCACCATATCCAGCTAAAACATCCAAAAAAGTTAGCTGTTGGGGAGCATAACATCAACTTGGGGCAGCACATTCAGTTCTGTTACACCACCCTCCTCTCACCAAACCCAGATATATGGATCACATCATGAGGGTGGCAATTGAGATTGAGCTTCATCCCAATAATATGAACAGGGAGAATGTTTTCTGCCTTAGGAAGTCCTCCTTGGAAGATCAGAGCAACCCTCCTTAACAAGATACTCTAATTGGATTCTTGACAGGGCAACACAGGCCCATTCACACTGGCCTAATCAGGGCACCAGTCCTGCACTGTCTGGGCACCCATCAGTGCCAAGCCTTTCCTGCCTTCCATGGCCTTCACCTGTTGTCTTTGCTCTTCTTATCCCATTCATCCACTATGGGAGTCGTTCTTATTTTTTATATACTGTGTCTTATGTGGCTGCGTGCATTGTATTGCATATGTCCAGCAATACAACGCACGCAGCCACATAAGAAAGACACATCATAAGACACAGTATATAAAAAATAAGAAAGACTCCCATAGCGGATGAATGGTGTTACACACGAGTTTGATATACGACATGTAATATGATAGATCTTAACAAGTTTTAATATATAAATTTTATTATTGAACAACGTTGAACACACATTTTATATCATTTTATAAATGGACACTTGATGGCAGGCAGTGTAATGGTATAACATGATTGATACACCTGAGGATGGCAGAATGATGCCGAAACATGTACTGTGAAGTAACAAGTGAAATCGTATGCACTAAAAGACAGCAAATATATACACATTATGGATCCAAATGTGATAGTGGCTTGTAATTTAGGAAATGTAGTGTGGTTTTTCTGTTTATAATTCCTCACTCTGCCCTTAATTTGTAGTATCTGAAACACACAGTGTGGATAATAATCATACCTGCTCTTATTTTCTCCTTCCAGAATGAAAGCACATCCAAGGAACATCTTATGGAAATTCAGGCTAAAGTGATGGAGTTAGAGTATGTTTTGAATGAAACAAAAGAGAAGCTGAGTGTTGTTGAGCACCAAAAGTCTCAACTTGAATCTCATTTGGCAGATACTCAGGAGAAGTTAAATCAAAAACAGAACCTAGTTAGTGCTCTGGAAGAGCAGAAGAATCAGCTGTCTAGTGCAGTGGATGAAGTCAGCTTGGTAAGTGGATGTGAAAGTGTTAATAGCAGAAGCGATCAGTTGATTGAAATATGATGTTTTATTTTTTTTGTGCCTTTTTTATCATGATTTATGTTGCCTTCATCTTTGAGCAAAAACAGCTCTCTGTTTTTGTAGTGTACAGTGAAATATTAATAAAAAATGCCTTCTCCAAAACTTCAAATTTCCCATTTTTAGTTACCCATCCAGCTAATTAATTTCAGAATTACAGGATGCTGTATAATGAAAGTTTGTGTTTAAAAGAAAGTTGGTTTGTTTATCTTGGAGCATGTGTGCATTCAGTTTAATAAATATATGATTTTCAGTATGTATAAATATTTTTATTATAACCAGAATTTCAGATTTACCAGTAACTTTTAATTCACTTTAAAATTACAAAATTCAGCTTAACAAAAGTTTCAATTTAATAAAAATGAAATATATGTGCATCGTTTTTAATAAATTGAAGGTGCTCAGTGTGTATAGTGATGGGAACATTTTCGTTTTCATAAAATTATCACATGAAATTTTTGTGTCATGTAATATTATTTCTTGTGTAACATGTAAGGGACAAGAGTGGTTTATTGTCACCTCCCAAATTCTGGCTTGCCTTTTTAGATCTAATGTTATCTTATGACCTCCATATTAGACCCAGGATTTCAGGTAGCTTTGAACATTTTGTAGTGTGACCCTTGTGCACTTGATAGATTAACCTTCCTGGGAGTTGAGGAAGTAGCCAACTCTTCTGTAGGTTTCCTTATAAGTTCATTTCTTGTGTGTAATACACTATTATGATAGTAAACAAAAAGCAAGCAAGTATGAGATTTCATTAAGTTGGTGGCTGCTTGTAAAAAGCCATAAGGAATTTCTTAACAGGGAAGTAAATCTTTGGGACCTTGATAAATTTGCTGATAGGGGTTTGATACCAGCTTACATGAAGAATAGGTCATCAAATAACTTGTAATTCTTTCCCAAGGGGTGGGGGTGGGAACAGGAACAGTATTAGAATATTAAATTCACATACCCAGGCACCATTCCATAAGCACAACTGTTTATAATGAAGTGTGAATTCAGGGGATGTTAGCATTATACCAGGAAACAGTGTTAAATCACCCAATCTGGACACTTGGCAGATTGTAGTATGATTCAGATTCACCATGTATTGGTATGATGCAAACTAAATATAAATAAACTGTGTAACATAAATACATTTCATGATGATGTAAGTAACACCAGGTGAACTGAATTCTTTTTGCCACTGAAACTAAAGTTTTGTTATGACTTTAGTGTAGAGTTCCTTATTTTTAGAGATTATGACATCAGTTTTCACAAACAGTCATGCTTGGTATTAAAACTGTTCAGATTATTCATATTTATTCTTAGTAGGCCAGAAGTGGCCGCAGTACAAGGTACTTGGTCCCACCCCACTAGCAATAAAAAAATACTACATATTTATTTCAGAGAAAATTGGCAAAAGATAAAACTTTCTGTTACAAAACAAAGCAAAAACAACATTGAAGAAGATACTTTGAGAGGTGGGAGAAAAACATGGTGTTTATTTAGTTGAATTATGCTGCTGTATTATCATCATCATCAGTAATCTGTCAAGACGACAGGTCCAGAGTCTCTTCCAAAACAATTCCTCCACTTAATGCGATCTAGAGCTTTCTTGTTCAAATGACAGTATCCTCTTCTGTCCCCAAGGTCATCCAGCATCTTCTTACGTCTTCTTCCTCGTCTTCTTGTCACTTCTATCTGCCCCTCTATCTTTCCTTCAATAACTTCTTTTAGAAGGCAGTTTCTGCGTAAAACATGACCAATCCAATTAGCTTTCCGTTTTCTTATTTCGTGTAGGATATTCCTCTGCTCACTGACTTTAATTAACGCTTCTTCATTTCTCACATAATCGGTCCAACTGATCTTTTCCATCCTTCTAGAACACCGCATTTCAAAACTTTCCAGATGTTTCTGATCTACTGCCCTAAGTGTCCATGTTTCAGCCCCATACAGAGCTATGCTCCAAATGTAGCATTTCACTAGTTTCTTCCTCAAATTTAAGTCCAATTTGCTGGTAAAAAGATTCTTCTTCTTGCTAAATGCAGCTTTTGCCATGGCAATCCTGGATTTAATTTCACTAGTACACCTTCCATCATCTGTTAACAAGCTACCCAAATATTTAAAACATTTCACATTTTCCACTTGTTTTTGGTCTATCTTTATTGTGACTGGGGTTGGTTGTCTCGAAATTTTCATTACTTTTGTTTTTTCCACATTCATTTCCATGCCATAGCACCTTCCAATTTCAATTAGTCTATCAATCATGCCGCTGTATTATATGCTGAAATAATTATTGTTGAATGAGATATAGTGGGATAGCTGTCAAAGCTGAATTGGGAAGGGGAAATGGGAGCAAACAGTCATGACCACTTTTATACCACTTATGGAATCTTCCTAGGAGGACTGAAGAAAATTATGAAATAATTTATCTGATCCTTTGCCATAATTCTGAATATACCTGAGTCATGTGTTTTGAATGTATGTTTATGGAAGGATAAAGAAAAGTGATATAATCAAGAAGTATAATATTTTTCCAAAATTTCCAGTAATGTATTCAGTTTATAATTTTTGAACTGGTGCCAGTTGTATTCAACTTTAAACGTGCAAGTGCCATTTCTTGAGAAGTGTTGTGTGAATATGTAGTGTTTAAAGTGTTTAGCATGTGTTTGTGCAAAAATGTTAACATAAAATGATAGAAGGCTCTGCAAGATGTGTGGGAACATGGCTTTACACTTCAGTATGTTTATAGTTAATGTGTGTGTGCCACACACAGTTTGTTACAGTTTAATACTACACATAAGGAATTCATGATGAAAGTGTCTTTTTTTCATCTTGGAATTAGTAGGCTTTTGCTGAACAGTTTTCAGTTAATAATTCAGTAAGTATGGAAATTCTGTAGCACCATTTACATATATGTGATTGCAGGTAGCACAGAAGAGAAAGAATCTTGTAGATGAAATGTCTATACGAATCCAACAAAAAAGTGATGATTATAAACATCAGTTGTCAAATCTCACAAATGAATTTAGTAACAGAGAAGAGGAATTGAAAAAACAAATAGAAGCTTTCCAGGTAATTTACACTCTTTGTACACAGTATATTCAGCCATGCATAGAACCCCATATCTGCGACTCACAAAGACTTTATGTTGTGATATCAGTGTGTAAAATTAGAAATGAGCAAGGCAGCTGAGAGATTGGTTGTAACTTTGTGGAAGATTTCTGCTAACTCACAGAAGGAATGAGGTTTCATTAAGAATAATGGAACTGTTTTTCTGTAAAATTCAAATTACAAATAATAATTCTTAAAAGTATCGACTAGTTGCAGCTGCTCATTTACTTGAAAACTAAAATTAATTTTTAAGATAACTTTATTTAATATCATTCTTCAGCTACCATTCATTAGACTGGCTTGCATTTTCTGATACATAATTAATTCTGAAATCGAATTATTTAGAAATTTGGCAGGATTCTTTGATAGACTATCAGAATATTGTAAGGCCTCTCCACCTATAAAGTGTAGCATAAAAAGAGGAGATGTCCATGTACCAACCAGGATTCAAGCCCTTGATCTAAGTTTTTGAGTTGTCTAAGACTACTTTCTCCCTAGCATCCTTTCCGCTTTATATGGGCCAGTGGATGGAATGTCTCCAATTTCTCTCTCTAGAGCCTCATAGTTATTAATTTCATGGTATTATACCATTGCATATCTACATACTTTTGAAGTGGGAATGACACTAATGCCACATAGTGTAGTGTCCTGAAACTATTTTTAATAATAGATCTTTGGAAAATGTTCAACTTTTGTTATGCTCATTTTTGTAGAAGGTAAAACAACAACATGGCAACAGTGCAGATATTTCTATTCTGCTTTCAATATGACACTGATAAGTAATGGGGGTTGAAGCTAGTAATATGAGTTTTGTGTGAAGACAGAGTATGAACAACTCTGCAAATTATGTATAAATGTATGAATATGTTGTTTAAAGTTAGCAGTTACGTACATGATGATGATGATGTGAACTATGGGGTTATAGCCAACAGATTAAATGTAAACAAAATCAGTATAAATAGTAAGTAGTAGTATAGTAAGTTCTTTGGAAAACTACTGCTGCAAAGTAAAGCAAAACAAGCTAGGCAAGGCAGAGCTGAGCTGACCAGAGCGGAGCTCAGCTGAGCTAAGCATAACAGAGCTAAGCTAAACTAAGCTGAGCTGCAAGAAATAAATAAATATGACTTCAGCAAGACTCTTTCCACCCCCATTGTCTGCATGAACACAGCATTCTAACCCATGAGCTAATTCCATTTTATTGTTGCATTGTATGCTGACATTGCCCAAGTATAATATTGGAAGTATAAGATTTATGGGACTGGATGTCTGTAATAGGAAAGCAGGCATTATGAGTCTGCCAGGAACTTTGTGTTTAAATGACAGTCATATCTAATATGGATCCACTTTCTTTTTAAGTTTTACTAATGATAGGTTTTAGGTACACCTGAGGGAGCTGGTATAGTGACTGGCTATGGGCTGGACAACTGATGGGCCAGAGTTCAAGTCCCGGTCTCCAAGTCATCCAGACTGACTCTGGGGTCTACCCAACATCCTATCCAGTGGGTGCTGGGGGGCTCTTTCCCAGGTGGTAAAGCAGCCGGGGCGTGAAGCTGACCACTCACCCCCCAAGTAGTGCCGAGGTCAGGAAAATGCAGATCTATACATCCACTCCCCCATACACCTTCATGGTGTAGTGTTTATTCAGTTACTCATAGAGACAACTTTACCTTTACCTTAGGTACACCTGATTTTATATATGTGGAGAGAATACACTTTCTCAAACTTGGTGGATATGAATGAATATTTCAAAATTCAGATCCACGTTTAACACAGCATTTCAATTCACTTCAGTAAGTTTTGATGTAAAAGTCTAATTAACACATTGCGGACCAGAGGGGCATATGGCCCTCTACGTTTCCAAGCGTTGCGGACCGGTCGGGCCATATGGCCCTCTACGGTCACATTATGTTGCAAAACGCTATATATTGCTGTGTGGCTTCGTTGAATCATAACTACTGCGTAGATGACCTCGGGAATGATTGCTACCTTATCTGGTAACTCGACCAGAGTCATTTCCTGTCACAACCTAAACAAAATTGGCTTTGTTCTAATCCAAGCTTGCACGTATGAACCACGCAGCTACCAGTTCAACATGGCTCAGAGACGAAAGCAGTTGCGATCTCTCGGAGGACAGGAAATATTAGATATGCTCTCCGATGAGCTATCAGATTTGCCAACTGCTTCGTCTTCTGATAGCGAGGCCATTATCAGTGACAATGACAGTGACGGGGGCCACAGGGCTGCCCAAAATGTGTCAAGTGAAAGTGCGAGTGTCGGGACAGCTGCATGGGATAAAGTGGACAAAACCCCCACTTTGGGAAAGTTTACTGGTGATCCGGGGGTGAAGCAGATGCCATCGGACCCAACGGACGTGTCTGAAGTTGTGTCACTGTTTTTTGGAGATAGTTTCTTTAGTTTCTTTGACCTGTTGTGTCAGGAAACTAACAGATACTATCTCCAACACTGTGAGGCGTACGACAGAACCAATAATGTTTTGAAGTGGGTGGATGTCACTTCAACAGAAATGAAAAAATTTTTGGCTAATCATTCTAATGGGGCTTACGAAGAGAGAAAGTTTGAAGGATTATTGGTCAAGTGACCCATTTTTAGAAATTGCAATTTTCGGCAAACTCATGAGTCGTAAGAGATTTGAACAGATATGGTGGTGTTTGCATTTCAACAATAATGAAGTGCAACCACAACCAACGGGCAGGCTTTTCAAAATTCAGCCCTTATTAGACATTTTGGTTGAAAAATTTCAGACAGTTTATAAGCCAGAGCAACAACTGTCTTTGGACGAATGTGTGATTCCTTGGAGAGGAAGGCTTCGTATTCGAACGTATAATCCTGGGAAGCTCACAAAGTATGGCCCTACTTGTTTGTGTTGTCACGGAAAGCACTTCAGGATATATAGGAAATTTAGAAATTTATTCTGCTGAAGGCAAGAAATTGCAAGAAACTATTGTTTCTGTTTTGGGTCCCTATCTCAATCAAAATTATCACGTGTATCAAGATAATTATTACAACAGTGTGGCAACTGCAGAATACCTACTTTCAAGGAAAGTACGTATTTGTGGTACAATTAGGGTGAACAGAGGCCTCCCTCCAGATCTGAAAGAGGAATGTAAACGCCTGAAACGTGGCGACACCGCATTCAGGAGGAAGGGGGACATTCTTCTTCAGTCCTGGAGGGATACTCGCGTTGTGAATATGGTTTCCACTATTCACAATTCGAGCATGGTCGATGTTCAAAGACGACACGGGCAAGTAAAGAAGCCTCTTTGTATTTCCGAGTATAATATGTTCATGAAAGGAGTTGATAGGGCCGACCAGTTCTTGGCCTATTATTCCCTTCCTAGGAAAACAGTAAAATGGACGAAGAAAGTTGCACTGTGGCTTATAAACTGTGCAATTTTCAATTCATTTATGGTTTTCAAAAAGGTGAACAGAAATTGTACTTTGAAATACAAAGCATTTCTGTTGAAACTGGCAAAAGCTTGGGCTACTGACATCACTGTGGTGGCAGTACGTGCGTCAGACACAGACGTAGTGCAGCCGGGGCCATCTTTTCGCACCCACCGGAGGCCTCAGGTAGACCCCCCTGCCCGACTCTCGGGTGATATGCGGAAACATATTCTCGTGAAAATTGTGAAGAGTGAATATTGAAAGAAGAAACACCCTTCTAGGCAGTGCCATGTGTGTGCAGAGCACAAGAAGAAGAGTAGAACTGCCTACATGTGCAACTTCTGCATAATGCCTCTTCACAAAGGGGAATGTTTCCAGAGATATCACATGCGCAAGCACTTCTAGGAGCTCTGGTAAGTGTTCTCCAAAAATTTCAGTTCATAAAATTAATTAGGAGATTTTATATTAATTTTTAAAGTGAACAGTGCACAAGTTAGGGTAGTAGGTTTAAAAACACTGGTCCCCAGGGTGATTTAAATGTTTAAACCACCGGTCCGCAATGTGTTAAAGTATATGTACAGTTTTGATTTTTTTATCTTTCCAGGAAAGATTATTTTTGGTTTAGGACATTAAATTTAAGAGATCAGTTTCTTTTGATTCATTAGTGTTCTTTCCTCATCCAGGAAGAAGTAAAGAAGCTGGCCCCATTACAGAGCCAGTTAGATGATGCCCTAGTTAAAGTGAAGTCACTAGAAACAATGAAAGAATTGTTAGAATGTCGCCAGAAGGAAGCAGAAGACAACATTAAATCAACTCAGACATATTATGAAAATGTGATGGAACATTTGAAAACTGAACATGACAAAGAACTTAGTCAGCTGAAATGTTTTTATGAAAATCATGAGAAGGTAATAATTATATAATATATTTGATAATTTTGAATATAAGTTCAGTGAGGGCGAATTTATTTCTGTTCGAAATTACTACTGTTTGGTACTGTGACTCAAATCAGACACATACTAAATTTATACTCCTTCTATATAAGGAATTAAAAGAAGAACTGGAGTCTGTACAAGCTGAAGGACAGAAAAAGGATGAAGATTTGAACAGACTAGAACAGCAACTGCATGATGCTGGAGAAGAGAAACAGTTGGTGGAAAAAAAAGGGATTGCAGTAATGAAGGATTTGCGAAGGCAACTAGCGGCTGAGCGTAAACGGTCAGAGAAGTTACAGGAACGCTTGCGAGACCTTCTGAATGAGGGAACACATATCAAGACAGGTAAGTTCCTTGCTTATTCAGGTTGTAAAGGAAAAGGAGAAACTGTTTTTAGCCGTTACCATCAGAAAAGGGAACCATTTACCTGTGGTATGTATTTCTAGCTATCCAAAGGGAATCCTTTGTCTTCTTATGTCATGATGTTACCCAGTTCTTTTGATTCACAGCAGCGGATCTTCAATTTACTGTGTGTCAAAAATATTTTTCTATGCATCAAAGAATGTAAGAGATTTATTTATAATTGAATCATCAAATTCTAAGGGTTGAGTTTGCTTCCTTATATTTCTCTCAGGATTGCAAATTTCTTGGAAAGTTTGTAGATTTTCTAAGCAGACATTCTTACTTTGTTGTCCCATAGTGTTCCAAATGAAACCAAAATATCTATTGATGCTTCAAGAATTCCTAAGTTCACCTCTTCAACCCTTTCATAAAACCTGCACCCCCTAAACCATGCTGTTTTGTCAAGTTGTTTCAGTTAAAGACATTTAGTACAAAAATGACAGTAATCAGTACAGGTGTCTAAAATGTTTCCCAAAGCATTGAAGAATGACAGATTTATTTATAACTGTATCATCCACTTCTAAGAGGTGATTTTGCATGAAGATTTTCTGCGTCTGTGGGTTACAAAAGCTTGGAAGATTTATGGTTTTCTCCAGGCAATCATATATACCTTGTTGTCCCATAAAACATCAAAGCCCTTGTGTAAAACCTGCCCCTCTCTAAATCCCATTAGTTCATGAAAATATTTTTATTAAAAAAATTGAATGCAAAAGGGACTCTAATCACTGTACATGTCTAAGACATTTTGCTGAGCATCAGGGAATTTCAGAGATTTATTTATAAGTTATTCTTCTGTTTCTGATGGGTTAGTTTGCTTCCTGACTGTCTGCCGATGGTTACTACACCTCCTGAAACAAGGGAAGCACCACGACGACGTTAGGAACTACCGGCCGGTCATGTTTGCATCAATCCTGAGCCACATTTACTGGGGCATGATAGACCAAAAACTGAGGGTCTTCCTGCAGTTCTCCCCGAGACAAAAAGCCTTCATAAAGGAGGCGGGTTGTTTCAGTAATGTGCAGGTGTTCGATAGGCTCTTGAAAATGGCAAAGAGGAAGACTGGGATAACGGCAGTCCAACTGGACATAGCCAGAGTTTTTGATACGATACCACAAAGGGTTACAGGTGATGCCCTACAAAGGAAGGGCATACCTGAGGCGATGATAGAACTCATCGAGGACTCCTATAAGAGTTTCCACACTGCCATCAGACAGGGCTACCAGCAAGTGCCCATGAACATCAGAAGAGGTGTAAAACAAGGCGACCTGCTTTCTCCCTTCATATTCAGTGCCATCCTGGAACCCCTCCTCCTTCAGCGAGAGGAAATGCAAGGGTTTCAACTAAGCAATGACATTATGGTGTTGTCATTCACCTTTGCGGATGACATAATACTCGTGTTGTTCACGGCCTCAGGAGCAGAAAATCTACTAAGGAAACCCAAGGAGTATCTGAGGCCTGGATATGACCATCTTGGCACAAAAGTGTGCGGCCTTCAGTTTAAACAGAACATGGGATTCCTGGCAACTGCTGGACCCTGGTCTGTCAAGTGCCAACGGTGAGAATATCCCATTCGCCGAGGCTGAGACGTCACAACACATTCTCACCCTGGAAGGGAGTAACGGCTGAAAACCTGGACAGCTAGTTCAGGGATACACTGGAAAAGGTTAAAAAACTATCCCTTAAGCTGCAATAGAAGGCCTTGCTGATCAAAACTTATATGATCTCCCACTTCCTATACACCCTGGTCCTGGCTATGGTCCCCATGACCACTGTTCGAAAGATGGACCAGGACCACTGAAGAACGATTAAAACCATCTATCACCTCCCACAGTGCACTGCCAATGGCCTGTTACACTGTGGGAAGAAAAATGGGGGACTAGGCATACCAAAGCTGGAGACAACCTTTACCAACACTGCCCTCAAATTCCAGCTCAATGTAGACCATGTAATGAGGGCCGTATTGGAAGAGTCGGTGTTAAAGCAGAGAGTTGAAGACATTGTCTGAGTGGTGCATATAAACTGGCCCATTGCCAAGATAGGACAGATTGAGTGACACAAAACCTGCTTGAAGGAAAAAGAGATCAGAGAAAGGGCCCAACTAACACTACAGGGAAAGGCAGTACCAACCTTCATTGGGGACAAAATCTGGAACGCCTGGGTCGAAAACCCAACCATTTGCAGACCGAGCAAATTCATCATGGCCCTCAAACTAAGGGCCAATGTTGCGGGTGACAGGGCGACACTGGCCAGGGCCAAGATCACAAATGAAATTGAGTGTCATAAGTGTCATGTCCAAAAGGAAATGTTAGGCCATATCTTAGGTCAGTGCACAGATACCAAGAAGGAGAGTATAGAGAGACATGACACAATCAAGGACTACATCATACAAAGGATAGTGGACAAAGAGAAGCAGCCATCACAAGGGAGCCTACATTAAGCTCCCTGAAAAGGCAGGAGGGGTCCTCAAACCTGACTTGGTGGTAAAGAACCAGGGAGGGATCTTCGTGGTCGACATAACGGTCCGCCACAAGGACAAGGACTACCTTCAGGAAGGGAGACAGTAAACTTGACAAATATGCTCCGCTGCTTCCAGAATTGAAGCATAGGCTTGAAGGTGAGAGCACAGAGGTTCTTCTGATTGTAGTCTGAACATGGAGGGGCTCTACCACAAAACACCATAGAAGCACTCGACAGGCTCTTCATCAACGAGCACAGCGACTTGCTCAGTATATCCCTAATGGTGTTCCACAAGTCAGTAAACATATACAACATATATGGATTACAGTGCCCACCCAGATGAAGAAAGAGGAAGAACTCCCAGATAAGACAGCCCCTGGCCAGCACTAGTTGCTTGCATCATTACGCATTGACCTAGAGTAGTCATTTATTTTGAAACTTGGCACTGCTTTCTGAGGGCCTCTTGAGACTCCAGGGGATCCTTGCCCGCAGGCAAGTCCTGGGTTTGATCTCCCTCTCCTAAACCTACTTTCGAAATATTTCACTTGGGAGGGCACCTAGTTTTGTTCTTGTATTTGTTGTTTGGCCATTGCTCTCCTTTCTCTTCTCGGTCTGTCCTCTGTTGGTTGTTGGTTCTTCTTGCAACTTTTTCAGTGCAGTGTGTGTGGGGGGGTATGCCGATGTGGTTATGGTAGTAGTTAGTCATCATGGACTCTCACTAAGAACCCTTCCCTCAGGCTGTTTCTTCATCAAGAAATGGTCCAAAGGAAGACTCAAAAGCATGTATAGAATGTGAATTGCAATTTTTGTATCCAACATTATGATACACCAGCACTTAGACCGCCCACCAGACCATCTTCAGCATCGGATGGGAGAGAGAGCAGAGCCAGCCAAGGTTTAGTCACTCGACCAGGCAGACACCTCCATAAGGTTCCCCACGGGCGGCTAAATAGTCGGCTAAGATCTGCTTCTCCTCAAGAACACTGCAGAAGGTTCTTTCAATGCAGATACTCCCTTGGCAGGGAGAGGCCAGGGGCCGCAGTTGTAGATGGGATCAGCTGGAATTCGTTGGATTGGAGGCAAAGATCATCAAGCCTGTTGGTCTAAGCGCCTAGGCAGATTTAGTCACAAGCCATAATAGACAGTGGCACCGTGCTGCAAACTATTGTGGGAAGTGTAAACAAACTGGTTTATAGAATGTAGCCATTCTTGCTTTATTGACCCAAAAAATACCAAAATGAAATTGGACTTTCTAATTATGCTTCAAGGATGTCTTGTGTTTATCTTATCAGCCCTTTCATAAAATTCACAGCTCTTGAAGAAAAGTCTTGTTTCAAGATTATATCATGGCGTATGCTTGAAGGTTCTGATCAAAACCATAAAAATCCTCAGGGAAGGTGTTTGGTATCCTGTCCAAGATTTAAAGCAGTCTTTTCTGAAGAGTAAGTCAAAAGGGATATTGCTTAGTAATGGTTTATGCTTTGTCTCTTTCATATCCCGATGAGATCATAGGATTTTTTCAGTTTACCTAATTCTTCCAGCCGCACTATGGCCCTGGAGTTGACTCAGCTTCTAACAGAAATGTGTACCAGGAATGATCTTGGGGGTGAAGACTAGCCAGTGTGCAAGACTGACAGTCTTACCACCATCTGTGATCTGATTGTCTAGAAAATGTGGTAGCCTCAACCTCTCACACCTCTATGGGTCTCCACGGCCTGTTACAGGGATAACTTTACCTTGCTTCTTGTTGAACAGTGTTTCATGTGCCATTGTGAGCCATGTGCAGGTCAAAGCTGTGTAGTTTACATTGTGAGGTACTTATCGTGGAGCCTTGTGCTTGTGTGTGTAAATTTTTTGTTAAGGTATGGTTGATACTGTTACTGTGATATGAAGCTTATAGCTTAAAATGTTTAAAAATGAAAGTGCTTATATAATCTACTTTGGCTTATGATGTAGGTTTTAGAAACTAGACAACTTGGCAAGATAAATTATCAGGTGGGGTGCACTGAGAAAGACTACAGCTGTTGTGCTTATAATAGCACCATTAGTAAATATCACGCAATATCAGCCTTATTGTTTTGCATGAATTAGTTGGTACATGATGTTTTATATTACTAAAGTTGTGTTTATTTATTTTTATTATCATTCATCAACCCATTCATGTGATGCTGATACTGATGTTGTGTATTCCTAAATTCATTAAATGTACTGTATCTTTTTTATGTTATAAGCTTAATTATTCAATAAATGATATAAACTCCGTCTCAAGTGCAAACAATATATTTTGTGTCTTTGATCTTGCTCCCTACACTACATGTTTCGGCCTCAGACGGCCATCATCAGGTGTATAACACTCACGTTGCTGTCACACTGCACCCAGTTCAAAATTTAACATCTAAAACACTCTCCCTGTCATTATCAACTTCTACTTCGTTGATAGCTGTCCACCCGTAGATTACTTCACACACGTTAATTTTGAGTTTATTATAATAGCACCATAATAAAATCTTTAGTTCTAATTTTAAACCTTTAAATTCTTGTTTATATCATTTATCATGTGGAGTGCAACAGGATGCTTAAATATAATATTGTATTAATTATTCAATATCTATTTATTAAATTGAAACTTTTGTGAATTTTCGTAGAGAGAAAGGAATTATTGCACTTTTAACCCTTTACCGTGACTAACACCATGTAATGATTAAATGAAATGTCCTATACCTCAAGTTGCACACTGAAATGTAACATAAACATGACATATAAATTAATTTATCCAATAATGTCAGGATATATTGACTCTAAAGATTGTGGCAAATAACTCAATAGTGTAATGGGTATTATTATTTTTTATTGCTAGTGGGCTGGGACTAAGTCCCTTGTACTGCAGCCACTTCTGGCCTATTGTATCAGCCCCAGATGGCAGGTATGTGGAGCAATTGGTGGAATGAAGATTGGCAGGGGAAACCAAAGTACTCAGGAAAAACCTGTCCCAGCGCCACTTTGTCCACCACAAATCCCACTTGACCAGACCCGGGATCAAACCCGGGCCACCGCGGTGGGAAACCAGCGACTAACCTCTTGAGCTATGGCGCAGCCTACTCTAGTGTAATAGGTAGGTAACATAAGAAGTTTCTCAGAAACTGAGTTCCAGTTTTGCATATGATACAAAATATGCATAAAGTTGTATTTTATACGCTGAATTAAAAAATTTAATTTTACAGATGTAAACAAGAGTCTTGATCCTGAAACCAGTTCTGTTTCTTCATGGAGCCTGATGAGCGGTAATTGTGAACCACAAGAATCAATTACTCATGAAAATAGTATAGTTGCAGGGTCTATCAGCAACTTCAATGGCAATGTAAGATGATGCAGTCATTCTGTAATTTCTCCATGCATGTTTGTGGATACTTACTCACATTGGTGCATGTTTTGTTTTTAATGACTTTCTGATATAAAAATCTTATTGAAAGGCTAGAAATGTGTCTCAGGTTTGCTATTATCATGTGTATGAGTGACTATAGATGGGGTTTGGATTGGTGACTGGATTTATTGAACACTTATACACACAACTAATAACTACAAGTACACTATCAGTAATCTGCACACTACAGTACACTCTAAGCCTCAGTCTCTTATAGTCTTTGCTAGTTGTTGCTTGGTAACAGCTCTCAGTGGTGGTGATTCTTCAGCTTCTGTTCTTATGTCATTGTCCGCTGGCTAATACTAACCAACTTGCCTCATTCATCCTCGGCATGGACCGCATAGAAAACTCCATTTCCAACAGTTCGCCTGTCGTTGCATGCGGATTCATTGCTGTGAGGACATGTTTATTTATGAAGACGTTACTCAAGAACAGTTCTTGTATATTTGCTTATCTCGTGGTCGTTGCCCAGCAACAGGTCTACATACTAATTATAATAAACTTGATATCAAATTATGTGTACTTGTACATTACAAACTTCTTCTTAATGAATAATATCATTTGGCAGAATGTTGCTTGAAGCTTTGTGTGATACTGTGATACCCTCTTAAGAAGTTTTCAGTAGTCCAAGCATTTCAAACTTTTTTATGACTGCATACCAAATCAAGGTTGACCTGGACTTAATTTTTGTAGAAAAAGAATATACATGTCAGAATCGCTGAACTCTCGCTCCATTTCAAGGTATTCTCCCTTTATACTAACACATCTTTTCCATTGTCCTGGCAAGTTACCGATGCTAGCAGCATGAAAGGTTTTATGTTGACTGCATAACCAGTTCAGGACACTGTGTTTGAGTCTGGCATAAGCTTGAAATGTCTGTCCTCCTAGATGCCCCTTCGTTGGTCCAAACAAGTGAAAATCACTGGGGGTTAAGTCAAGGCCGTAAGGAATTTGGTTCATGATTTCTGAATCCATTGTTGCCAGTGTTACCTTTGACAAATTTGCCGTATGTGGACAAGCATTGTCATGCAGTAGGGTTATCTTCTTTGTCAGTTTCCTAGGTCTTTTCTTCCACTCTTGGTGCACATTGCTGTGAAGCGAGTTGATGTAATGTTGTGCTGTTTCACTAAATAGCTCTTTGATGTGGCGATTGTTCATATTGGGTACTGCTATTGGCTGAATGTGAGTATGTGGTAGGTTCAGGCGTTCTTCACAGCTTTCAGAAAACATATTATACCAATCATAGACACTTTAACATGACAAAGCCTCTGTGCATTTAACCCACAAAGAATTTCTGTTGGTTTTACTTTCTCTTTTATAAGGAATTTGATGATACAGCGCTGTTCTACACTCAGAATGACAAGGCCCAATGCCATCTTGTATGAGTTCTAATGCACAGAAGTGAGTGTGGTTCTGCCACTGACTGTCCATAAAAGAATTTTGATTTTCTGGTGGCCACATCATCAGGAAAAGAACTAAAGTCTGGGTTAATCTTGAACCACCCTCATAATTAGATATATTGTAAATACCATGGAACTGAACATAATTGTGCATTTTGTTTTTTGGGTAGCTGTCCACTTTTCGGTTATATCCAATTTTCCCTCTATTGTCAATAATTTTAAATTTTATTCTGTCACTACAGCTTCTTTGTTGTTGACTGTTTGTAACTAACTCCATGTAGCAGAGTCCTTGAGAACCTTATGGGTCCTTATCTACGGAAGATATTCCCTGCTTTTTATGGGACCTGAATGTTTATTGCGATGTTCACAAGAATCTGCAACTGGTCCCTACCTTGGGCCATGTGAAGTGCATTCACTTCAATCATATATTTTTAAGAACCATTTTATTATTAATATTTTTCTGTGCATAGATTATCTAAGTGCTCTTGTTCCTTCAGCTTTTCCTTCCAAAAGTTCTCATTTCCCTCATGCATGCTACATGCCTACCGTTTTATCGTCCCTATAATACTTAGTGAAGAATATAAATTATGTGCCGTTTTCTTCAGCAGTCTGCTACTTCCTTTATCTTAGGCCCAAATATTCTCCTCACCATCCTATTATCAAAGATCTTCATTCTCTATTATCTTCTTGGTGTGGGAGACTATGTTTCACACTCATATAAAACAACAGGCAAAATTATATTTTTATATGTTTTAGTGCTTACATTTTGAGATAGCAGATGGAAGACGATATATTCTGAACTGAATGATAACAAGCATTCCCCAAATTTAAAGTGCTCTTAATTTCTTCATGAATTGAATTTTGATTGTCATTATCATTCCCAAATATTCAAATTTTGCCACATTTTCAAAGGATCTCTTCGTTCTTGTTCTTGTATGATGCTGGGAGCTTCTTTATGTGTCTTCATGATATTTATGTTTTTCCCCTAATATGTTAACACCATCACCATAGATCAGAAGCCAGTGTTCCCCATTCAATTTCAGTCCCTCCTAGTTTTCTTGGACCTTCTTGATGGTGTTTTATAAAGCAGAGTTGAAAAGCAATGACAATAAAGCATCTTCCCCCCCCCCCTTTTTTTAAACCATTCCAAGTAGGAAATATATCAGACAGATTGTTAAACTATATGAACTTCACTTAGGTTTCTATATGTTCCAGTTAGCCTAAATGGTTTCATGGGTGTACCAGACTCGGTGAGCTTACAGCACAGTATTTCCCTCCTAAATGAATCTCAGGCTCCCTCACAGTATGTTAATAGCTGATGTACTGTTGTGCCATGCTCCGGTCAAAATGTGTCACAGGTGTTTTGTTCAGTCCATTTTATTCCTTCTGAAACTGATATGCATATGAAGATTACTATCTTCTGGAATATGATGCTGTGTAGTCTGGTAGACTTGCCACATTCTACTGAAGTGGTGGTAATGACTTATGAGACTACATAAGATTTCATCTGAGAAGACAACAGTATTCATTTTCATGATTATAAGAACTTCAAATGTCACATGATTGCACATGCTTCATCAATATGAACTTTGCCCATCTGTTAGAAATAATCATATACAGTCTCCTGGCTGTCTGCTGATGAAATGTGACTTCCATCAAGATCTTCAGAATCTGTGTCACAGTACAGGTCAGCAGAGCAAGAGGGCTCACATGCAACTTCCTGACACATATTTGGGAGGTGGTCTGTTGGAGTCTCTGCCAATACACCAGCTATCCTGACAGAGTTTTTCATGACTTTCATCAGTCCCATCAGGCCAGTGCCAGGATGAAACCTCAGATTAGCCACAGCTGCTTTGTTCTAAATCCATTCAAATTCATTGTTCATTAACATGTTACTATATGATGGTGTGAAGTCTGTGACCAGTGGTTAAAAAAATATATGTGGTTTAGTTTATAAATAATATCTGGTGTGGAGCAGAGCAATAAACTTTGTAAGCAATTTTGGACACAAAAATATGTTTAAAATCAAAATTTACAACAGATTACACTGTGGTTTGACTAAGAAGATCGTGCAGCAAGAAGGCATTGAAATTGATTTCTCAGTATTGGCAATTGTCAGCATCACTGAATTGGTTATTCAGCTTACTCACTAAATTATCCATTCTGACCCAGAAGAGTTAATCCATTGTGAATTTCTTTGAATCTCTAATTTGTTTCCGTCTTAATATGACTCAGAAATGCATACAGTGAGAGACAGTGAACGAAATATATGACAATTTTAGCACTCTCCTTTCACCTTCTCTGGGCAGCTTTGTCTATATATTAAAACTCACACTTCGAAGGTTTGTTATCTCTTCTTATTTATCTGTTTCAGCCTACCTAGCCATCATCAGGTGCATAAGTTTATACATGAAAGCTGCTGCTCTGCTGTTGTCCTGTTGTATTTTGTGTTTTATAAGTAATGTTAAATGCTTATAGAATGTTTAAATTTTTTTTAATAGATTATCATGCTGTGGTTGCTTTTGTTGAGCACACATTTTGTGGGTCTGGAGTGTGTTTTCTGGTGGGCTGGTTTTTTTTTTTTTTTTTTTTTTGAGCTGTGTGACTAAAAGTAACTGCAGCATGATAATCTAAAAAAATAACTTAAAATATTCATAAGCATCTTACATTACTCATAAAATCCAAAATACGACGGTATAACAACAGAGCAGCACTTTTCATCTACAGTCTTATACACCTGATAATGGCTGGTTAGGCCGAAACATGTAGTGTTAAATAAATAATAAGAAAAGCCAAAGAGGCTTCATAGTATGAATTTTAATTTATGAAGTTGCCCAGAGACAGTGAAATAAGAGTGCTAAAATTGGAATGCAAAGTGCAAGAGGTTGCTGTAGTGCGATAAAATATATGACCCATGTTTCTTGTAGTTTAAGAAGCATAAAATTATTGCTATATTATGATAAACATAATTACATGATAAATAACGGGAAAATATATGAACAAAGCATGTTCTGGAAGTAACACACCTTTCTCATGTTTTAATGGTCTGTGATTTAACACCCAGTGATAGATATCCTAACCAAAGGTCTGTTGAGTTTGCTGTCACCCATTATAATACTTTCTCACAGTTAGCTATGACCGGCTGTGTTTACATTCCAACTGCTTTAACATAGTGTCTAGTAATCTGGAATGGTATCATTCTTTGGTGTGTTTAGTAGCAATAATAACACATCAACACTTCATTCATTAAATATTTTATTAAAACTCATTATGTATTTTAAAGGGCTAAGGATGACAGCCCAAGTAACCTTCATACCCCCAGTTGTCAAAGGTACTTGGTTTATTCTGTATTTAAGATTGACTAATGCAGGTGAGTAGAGCTAGCATTGAGCTAGTTGGTGTAGCAGCAAGACACTAAACCTGTGTTCAGGAGACACCTATTTTGGATCTCAGGTTGGCAGATAGCTGTTCTAACCGGTTTTTCCCCATAGTTTCTCTCAACAAATACCAGGTTAGTACTTACAGTAGCCATATCCTGCTGGTATGTATCTGTGATCTTCCAGTTTTATTTGTTATATAAACTTTCAAGTTAAAATATTGTGAAATAACTTAAGAATTATTCATTCAACAAGAGTGCTGTGACTTCTGTTGTTGAAGATATCTCCACCACCCAAAGACCAGGATCTGGAACAAGAGACTTACAGATTGCTTTCAAAGATCACTGCTCTGCAACAGGAGAAGTGGGTTTTGGAAGAAAAAATTAATCATCTGGAACAAGGCAGTGCTGCTATGGCTGAGGATCTGATGCGCAAGACAGCTCTTATTGAGTACTATTGTATTGAAGGAAAATCAGGTTTGTTTTTTGACCATTGTACGTAGCAGTAGTGGTTTTATTCTTTGTATTGTATGTTTTATTTCACCAACATAGCTACATTACAGTGCAGTTTCTGTGTATGCATTAATTCATATAGTCATGTGTATGAGCAACTATAGATGGGGTTTGGATTGGTAATTGAATGTATTGAACACTTACAGACTGTAACTACAAATAACTATGGCAGTCTCACTGAGGTACACACTCCAAAAATCACTCTAACCACAGCACAAATAAAGTCTTCTCAGTTTGCTATATCTTCACCAGTTCTTATGAAAACAGGACATTATTTGTGTGTATTATGACATACCAACATCTAATAAATAAATCATGTTCTGATGAAGTACTGTCTATGAAGGTGTCTTCATTTCATGAAACACTTTTCAGGTCCAGTAGCCACATCAACATCATCATCATCATCTTCATCCCCTTCTAATGAAAGGCTGTCAATGAAGAAGTTCGTTGAAAAGTTGAAGGGAGATGAACACATACACGAATCAAACCGAAGGATGCAGCGAATGCTAGAAGAGATGCTGACCAAGAATATGCACTTACAGACTAATCTGGAACAGCTCTCACTGGAAGTGGTTAGACTTAGCAAGGGAACTGACAGTAATGTGTGTACATGAGGGTATTGCAGTAGATACAAGTGTATCTTGTTTCTTGTCATTGTTGACTGTCATATTTCTGACAGAATGATTATTGTTATGGTGGGGACTATACTATGTCAAGGTGTGCAGCTTCATTTAGTGATAACATGCTAGCTTACAGTTACAATACATGCTATACTGGTAATCATGCAGTATAAGCCTGTTATTGCTTTTTCAGTGGGTACCATGAAACTATTGCTAAATGTGTTTTAGATCTGTGCATATTTGGAGATCACATTTTTAGTGTGTCAGTCAGGAATTTAGGATTTGAAATTTACTAAATCATGTATGAAAGTCATGCCCTCCTGCTTTCCTTGGAAGAAATTTGTTACTCTCTGATCTTTATACTATTTACATCGTCTCATTAGAGTGTGAATTTGTATAACTGATACATTATGATACGAGGGCTATTTGGGAAGTAACCTCCATTTAGTTTAGGCAACTAATGTAGGAGCTGGGGATAGCTCGCACGTGCAAGGTAGTGGAACATGACTCATTGCCTTGAAGCCATCACATAACTGTTCATGTAGTGTTTGTTCTTGTCTGTCTCTACAGAGTGAGTTATGATGTGTACTTGCCTGTCTCTACAGAGTAAGTTATGATGTGTCCTGCAATTGCTAATCCTGCCAGATTAATGTGAAGTTTTCACTGTTATCTAATTTCTTCACGCCAAAAACATGAACACTGCAGAAATCTGTTGGGAATTATGTGCAGCAGTTTATGTCCAAAATGTAATGAATGGAGCAACTGTAAGACAATGGTGTAGAATGTTCAAAGCTGGGAGAACACATATTCACAATGAAGAGCCTAGTGGTCAGACGGCCAGCTGTAGTGAGTGATATTCTTGTTTTCGTTCAAAGTGTTGACCAAAGAAATCTGTGATCAATGATGTTAGACAATTTCAGAACTTTCATGTGAATTTCCACAAATTTCATGCACTGTTCTGTACAAGATTATCACAGTTAGGCTAGGCTGTCACAAGTTTTATGCGAGATGGGTTCTGAAAATGCTCATGGGTGTGCACAAAATGCAGAGAACAGCTTGAACGTCAACTTTTTTAGAATGATATCACAAAGATGGTAATGAATTTCTCAGGCACATTGTGTGACTAACAGGTGATAAAACTTGGGTTTCATCTGTGAATATTGAAACCAAAGAGCAGTCAAAGCAATGGATGTGCACACATTCACCAAAGAAGCTGAAGAGGTTAAAGAAATGAATGCCTGCCGGAAAGCTGGTGGCAACTGCTTTCTTGGACAGGAAAGGAGTGCTAATGGTGGAATTCATACAGTAAGAGACCACAGTGTCAGAAATGTATTTCAGAAGAATAAAAGAACTGTGTACAGCTGGCTATTCATAACAAAAGGCTTGGAATGCTGACATCCAGTATATGCTCCTCCATGACAGTGCATGTCTGCATGCAGCTGCTTGCACTTGAGCACTGCTGGAGCATTTCACCCTTACAGCCCTGATCTTACTCTGAGTGACTACCACTTGTTTACCTATCTGAAGAAGTTGTTGGGATCACAGCACTTCAGCAATGATAAGGCATTGATGAAAGGTGTCAAAATATGGCTGAGCTAACAGGCGAAGACTTCTTTGACACAGGAATACAAAAACTTATTCCCTGATAGAACTAGTGCCCCAATTCTGGCAGTGACTATGTTGGGAAACAGGATAAGTATGTAATTATTTTTTTGTATATAATAAATTTTTTTCCTCATATTTTGCTTTAACAGATCACTGGAGGCTTCTTTCCAAAAGCCCTCCTACTTTGTGTTCATATGATTTTTATTTATGTGAAACCAAAGTAGAGGCAGTAATGACCGACGATGTCATTTGTGTAGGCCTTTGTGCCCTTGAAGAAGAATAAAATTGTGGCATTGATATCAACTTAATTTGCTGAGCTTCCAGATTGTAATTTTTATGTTCTAAAATAGCTGATCTCAGTAGACATGCAGTCTAAAGCATGAAATGCTGTAGCTTGCTTGAACACTGGGATTGTAGGTTTGGATCACACTTGAGACATGGATGTATGTCTGCAGTATTTCTGTATTTGTTTTTTCTTGTGTAGGTAGTGGTCTTGCGATAAACTGATCCCCTATGTAAGGAGTCCTACTAAGTGTCTAAGATTCACAATTTTCAGATAAATTCTGGAATAGTTAACAAGCCACAGGGCCTAATCTGTTGTGGGGGCAGGTGGAGGAAGAGGTCAATATAAATATAATAGGTGCCCTGATTCTGTGTAATTGTTAACTTCCAGTAACATGCATCAGTTGTTTGTTCTTGCTTGGAAATATCTTCATTTGATAGATTTTTTCAATTTCTATTGTCGCGTATCGGGCGTATATCGCGACAAATAACTTCACGCCGTATTTTATATAGCGAATTTTATTTCACATTCGCACTTACAATCACCCAAATTACAGATTTACGGTTACTGCTATCTGCAGTATCACAATTAGTACACTCCAAATGCCACAATACAACTGACTGGCTGACTTTACGTCTCGACTCGGCGACTGTTACTTTATAACTGACTGTGAATAGCCTTCACTTCTCCCTATGTAGCCTCGATCGGACAATACGGCCACGTAATAGGCACCCTTGTTGCTAGCCACGCTGTCCGGTTACGTCACCGCTGTTGATTCGCCTTGCATAGTTACCCGGTTACGGGGCTCGGCTATCTTCGGCTCCGCTCGTGACGTCACCGCGCATGGCTGCCAGGATGCGGGGTGATTACTCGCCTATTACGCGAGCGTTACGTTACCGCTGAGGGGTGGGAGGGGATCAACATGTCACACTATTCTTAAGTGATATGTGACTTCATTGATAGTTACATGAAAAGAGCTTTGATTTGTGAGAAATTGATAGATATGGGTTGCTAATGCTGTGGTTGTCAATTCCTTTTTAAGTCATTTGCAGGAAAACAGTATACAATCAAAATTCAGGAGACCAGATGATACACTTGAAAGAGTATGTTTACTTATTCAGCCCTTGTTTTATTTTAGGCTCATTCTGTTTGTTGTTGTTTTGGCCCGCTTGTTTTCTTGTTAACAGTAGAATATGTTGTTAATATAGAATTATATGAAGTAAGTATATGATTTAGATTTGTTTTGGGAATGGAAACCATTCTGCAGAACTCACTTTTCATTAACATGATAACGGCACTGGCAGGCATAAGTGAAGATCTTATAGATTCATCATATTCTCTCATCAAAAGTTTCACCCCAGGAAACTATCAGCTGATGAAAATTACTAAATATTAGCACCATCTTCATATTATGAGAGCTTCAAATTATCCAACTGATTTTGCTCTGTGCTGATGATAATTCATTGGGTAAGAACATAAATACCACAAAAAAGAAAACACACATGCTATGTTAGACACTAGTAAGGTGTTTGGGTTGAAGTAAATGTGGAGAAAACTTAAGCTTTTGCATATATGATGCAAAAGAAATTACTTTGCATCAGCTAAACTTAATCCTGGAATACACCTACAGTTTATATTGAAAATTAAACATAAATTTAATAAAACAGACATACATTCATGCTTTCAGTGAGAGATTAAATATTCACACATCTTGGAAGACTGATGTGTTCAGTAACAGAGTTTGTATGCATAAATATCCATGTATTTATGCACTGTCCCATCACTGATGTGTTTTATTATGTTAAATTAAATAGATGTTTTTAAGTAGTTTTGTAAATAATTTCATTATACTACATTTTAAGTCTTCATTCACATATTTTAAATACTAACACAATTTCTGATATATTTTGTCGAGAATATTTATAAGGTGTAATTTTCATAATATATTGTAATTTTATTTTATTATATTAATGCACTATGTTGCAGTATATGTGACGAAGATTCTTCTGAATATATATCACTACTGTATTGTACTGTATAGTGGAATTTCCTGCTAAGTTATATGTTTGTTTCACTTCCAGGTGTTGCTTAGCAGTATCCTTCCCTCAGCAGATAAGAAACTCTATATGTGTTATTCTGAATATTTTTAACCTTTAGGAATAGTGGATTTCAGATCCTCTTCAAGTGTGGGGATGATGGTGGAATTTTAAATGGGAGGGGGGGTATTAGTATCAAAAAAATTAAATGCGTGAACATCTAGACTGAAAAAGTGCAACATACAGCCAGTAGAGGAGTAAGCAGCTTTTCACAAGATGGTTGCCACAATGCTATGAAGTTGTGTAACAACAATATTGTCCTCAGCTGCTCCAGACTCTGATCGCTTTTAATATTGTGTCAGTGAAACAGATGTTTATGGAAAGTTCCAAATTATTATTTTCACTCTGCAGCACTTTATCATTTATATCAAAGATTAATAATACTTCAAATTTTCGTGTCTCCATTCCACTACATAATACCATATGTAGAGTTGACATATGTTGTTCCATTTGTAGTATGAGTAGCATGAGATGAAATATTGGATAAAGCATGCAAATACATCACTGGAATTCTGTTTGAAAATGGAACATTAAGCAAGTAGTGGAAGGACAGCTTATAGGTTAATATGATGAGACTCAAGTGGCAATGGAAAAATAATGCCTCAGATATTATAAATGGAACAAGGCATGAAACTTAAGAAACTGTCAGTTGTGTTAAATCAAACTGAAAAATATTTATTATTTGTTTGAGGATAAAATATATACTAGTTGCCCATATTAACATAGTCTTTAAAGGTTTACTACAGTTCTTCCATGATAAATGAAATATCTCCAGCACCAAAAACATTTATGAGGGGGTACCCAAAAGAAACCAAACTTATTTTTTTTTAACTTATTTATTCAAATTTTAAGCACAAACCTTCAATCCCCTTCATATTACTCTCCACTTACACTAATACACTTGTCTAGTCTTTTATTCCATTTTTCAAAACATTGTCCTAAATTCATCTTTTGAGATGCTTGATAGCGCCTCCGTCGTTTTTTCCTTCACCTCAGCAACATCAGCAAAACGCTTTCCTTTCATGTCTCTTTTCATTCGAGGAAACAAAAAAAAGTTTTGATCATTTCGGGACTCTTCTTTCAAAGCACAGGATGCTTCCATGCGACCTTGTTTTTGTTCAGCAGTCTGCAGTCGTGGCACGAATTTCGCAGCCACCCTTTTCATTCCCAAATCTTCTGTCAAAATTCACTGAACTGAGCTCCAGGTCACTCCCGACAGCTCCACAATTTCTTCAATGGTCCTTCATCGATCTTCCTTAATGATATCATGAATTTTTTCAACATTTTCATGTGTTCGGGCCATGAAAGGATGACCAGAACGAGGTTTGTCATCAATTGACATTTCACCATTTTTTAAATGGGAAAACCACTCAAACACTTGAGTTTTCTCCATAGCATCGTCCTTGTACGCCGTTTTTAACATTTCAAGAGTTTCTGTTCTACTTTTCCTGAGCAAAAAGCAGAATTTCACCGTCGCACGCTGTTCACGAAAATCAGCCATTGCAAAAACGACGATCACACAAAACAGTTGTCACTATAAACTCTGCCGAAACTAGTCCTTACCTTCTGAAGCAACGGTAGTCGGCTTATCGACTCAGGAATGTTAGCTCTATGCGCCCATAGTGGCAAAACGCGGTACTACAAAAGCTCTGCCCACAAAAAAATTAGTTCGGTTTCTTTTGGGTACCCCATCGTAGAGCCTCTGATCTATATGCGATATCTATATCACATTGTTCCATTTTTTGGACCATAAGAGCAATAAAGTATGTATATTCCTTTCCTGCCACACAGTGCTGCATCCTTTCATTTCAGATAGAGGAGATACCACCATAGGAAAAATGGCTGTGAATATACGTCATACACAGTTGTGGTTAACTCTCTCCACAATCAAGATTACAGGGCCTTCATGAATTATAATTTAATATATAAGTTCTTTATATAAATATATAAGTTCTTTATATATTTTTTATTATTATTTAATGCCCAGCAGTGCATATCTTGGTCAGAAGAGTGTACTGAATAAACAGCTATATGACGACGTATGGTGCTGTAAGACATGATCATAAAAGCGAAATTACAGTCTAAATTTGGGGTAGTTGCCTCAGTAATAATGAAATAATTACACCATGTTACTTGTTATAAATATTTAATCAGTTAATAATGTAACAATTCATGCTCATTATAATATTAAAAAATCACCTTAAAAATATTATGTTTGAGTTATTACACATTTCACTGGATCTTGAAACACACAAGACATCAATACTGCAATTGAATAAACATCAAACTTAATTGTTCTAAGCTGTTTTTTTTTCCATATGGGTTAATTGCTGCTTTTAATTTGCTGTAACTTCATTGCATTTATCTGTATTGGATTCCAGATTAAATACTGAAATGTGAAGGCAGTCAAACTTGTGATTATCAGTGGCACAGCATGACTTTTTCAGAAGTGTCAGCTAAAGCCCAAGATACAGGGAGACATGGCAATTTTGGCAACTGAGTACATGCATCTTACACAACTATTCAGATATGAGCAAGAAATGAATAAAGTTCAGGAATATAAGAGAGTGTAAAGGAAGGAAAACGGTGAGTTTACATTTTTCTACAGAACACCTAGTACTTCAGTTCTATGTGATTTTTTCAACGAAAATGTCTCTCACAGTGACAGAAGTTGGGACTGTCTTCTAAGTCAAAGAATTTACTTCTCAGTTGTCATTAATGACGACTTAGTGAGTCTCCCTTGAGTCTGTGTGCTGCATATATAAAGCAAAGAATAACCGTTTGATTTGTTTCATTCTGGTCCATCACACTAACAATATCATAAGAGTCAGCCAAACTGGTAGAAATCTAACAAGGTATAAGAAACACATAAGAAATATTAGACTAAACAAAGACGAATCAGCATTTGCCCAACATATACTAAATAAACGCCACCAGCACGGATGTATGACCGTAATCATGGAAATGGTTGAAAATGCCCAAAAAGGAGCCTCATAAATATAAAAGAAAACCTCCATATATATCGCTTTAATAAACTCAATAAATTGATAGAAGAACAAAAACATACAAGGGAAAGTGGTAACCAGCATAACATATTCGACATCATAATACATCATCAGTATGTCACTACATGCCCATACAAACGTCATAGAAACGAGTATAACTATGCGGCTCAACACACCCTAGAACAGTATAACAACACAGCACACCATGAACACCTACAGGACGGAAAAAAAAAGAAAAACAAAAACAAAAAGCTCACATAAAAACAAAATAGGGTTTGCTGAAGTAATACAATATACCCATAATATATCTGCAGAATCCTCTTCTCAAAAACTACAAGGCAGCACATGTTTGGCCCCCATCAAGAGAAAAAATAATAAATAGAACACGAACCAACTTGTTTTACAATTTCCAACAAAAATCTTAACAAACTAACTGTAAATATTTCAACATATTAAGACAGCTGCTATAGTTGTTAAAACATTAGATTTTATAACCATTGTATTTTATCAACATTATATGTATAAATTTTAACATTCAAAAATCATATTGTAATAGTGGCTTCCAATTTTATTGATGTCCCTCTGAGGATGGTCTGTAAAGACCTAAACATGTAAGGGATGAAGTATTGAAATAAGACCAGTCTTTACTAGTCACACTGAAGGGAACTGTTTAACCTCTTACAAATAATAACCACTTGACAGATACACCGGTTGTTGGAATGGTAATAAGAGGCAGATTAAATTCTAGTAGTGCCATACTCAAATCTGAAGGAATCCAATGTTTGAGCAGGCCTGAAATATTATTTTGTAAAAATTCTTCTGTTGAATAAATAACAGAAAATTCAGTTTTCAGAAAAACAATCAAAACATGACTCATAAACAGTAGCTGGAAATGTCAGAATACTGTTTAAAGTTTCAGAAGCATAGGAGTTAAACTTCAGTTTAAGAATTTCAGGGAATCAGTTGGTCGACTGTCCTTTCATAGTGTATAGTGTTTCACAGAATAAGATCAGCGTGCAAGAAACTGAAGTGTAACTTCATTTTGCTAATGTGATAACTTGGAATCTTATTCACTGACCCCTTCACCCATCCATGTCTCTGCTATATCATCTCACTTCTGATTGTGCCTGTGCTCACAAATGGCTAACAGTGCTTGTGATGGGCTGGCTGGAGGTGGCAGATGATGCATTATCTGACAGATTCCCTTGCCAGGATATAGAGTACCGCTGAACAGTTTTTATTTTCATTTTCAAAGTGTCAGCTGGGCTAACATGTCTACCATGAATTCTTTACCACCAGATTAGATAATTCAGATGTTCAGGAACATGCTCTGAAGTGTAAATTTTCTTATCATGGCTAATTCTGACATTTTTCTTGATACAGAGACATTTTGATTCTAATCCAATCCATATGTCCTGCTACATCTTACTGGATGATTAGTTCAGTAATAGAAACAGCAAGTTTTTATTTCAGTTTCTAGAAAACCAAGATTAACGACCATGGGAACCCACTGCGCTGACCACACGACACCCTCTATCTGCAAAAGTTGGCACTAACTTCGCCGATAAGTGGTGGTCGCTCGGTCAGTATAGTACGCTTGTAGAATAAAAGCCACAGAGTTTAGTTTTTTAGTAATTAAATAATTTTTCAAATACATATTTGAACAGAAAATAATTTAATGCAGGAACTTGAGAACAGAAGATTACTGCATCTGCAATTCTCTGACATTTTATATCTACGATCATCAAGTGGAGCAATAGATGAGAAATAGGTAGATATCTATATCCAAAAATATCTTCTTTTTTTAATTCAGTCATTGTAGGATTTACACAAATCTTAACAAAAGACACATGAAATACTCAACTATGAGCGAATCAGCATGAATTCTTTCAATTTCTATGTTGCTGTAAATACTGGAAGCAGCTGGGAGAGAGCAATTTTATACTAAGATAGCAAGGGGTGCACATACATACTTCACTGTAATGGAAGGTACAGATCAGTATGTACTGAATATGAATTGGTCACCTACAAATTTTATTACAGTGTCTATCTGATAGGCAAAATGTGTGAACTGTAAAGAAAACAGTTGTATTCAAGGTTCTGTAAATTACAACTTCAGTCTCCAAGGTTATGACACCATACAGTTTTGTGGGTGGTTACCAACATTTTGAAGAAAAAAATTGCCACCTCCATATTCCAGGTATATTTTTAAGAATGGAGGCAGGAGGTTCCTTGAAAATGATTATAACCATCTATGAAACTATACAATGTCATAACCGATAAAACCACAATCTTGGTAGAATTTGTTCCATTAAAAGGAATAAATAAATCTAACTGTAAACTTCATCTTGCTTATTACACATTCTTTTTTTTTTGAGCCAGTCACGGTTGCCGAGCGGTCTAAGGCATGTACTGTCTTCGCTCGCTTGGAAACAGGGATCATGGGTTTGAATCCCACTCAGTGCATGGATGTTTAGTTTGTGTGTGTGCGTTTTTCTGTGTTGGTGTACAGGTAGAGGCCTTGCGACAAGCTGATCACCCACCCAAGGAGTCCTACCAAATGTATAAGATCTAGAAAAACCGAAGTGAACGGAGAAGTTCGTGGAGGTAGGCCTAGGCCCACTGGGGCTGTAGTGCCAAGGAAAAAAAAATTATGTTTTTGAATATTTTCCCATTAGAGAATCATGTGTACATAACACATTCACAATTTACATAAAAGATCTAATCATTTAATTTGTTATAAAAAGTACAAGTCTGTACAATTCATTAAGTTGCAGTATGTTTTGGAAATTTTCCTTCTTAAACAATTTAGGTCCAAGAAATGATTTTGTCACTCCAGTTACCAGTGGCATAAAATCATTATGGTAAATTAATGAGAGCAGTGCAATAATCAGATAAACCACATATAACAACAATTTGTGTGCCTTGTTTTCCCACCACTGGAAATTGTTTTCAGGCTTTATTTTTTCACAAGAAACAGAACAATAACTATTTTTCCACACGGCAAGACAAAAGAAAATTGATTTTATACTTTAAAAAGAAATTGTAAAAAATTCATGAGTTTATATAGTTGCTTCAAAGCAACATGAAGAGAAATAAACTTATAATTTGAAACAAAAGTTTTATAAAGAAACCTGGAAAATAACTGCAGTTGTAATAGAAATAAAAGACAAATGGAAGAAATTAGGAATACTTTTTAGTGGTATGGAGATAATCCATAAGAATAAAAATATATAAACAGGACATAACCATACAGTCAAATCAAGCATTACATCTGGGAAGTAAGTGTACATATAACAGCTGCCAAGCCAGAACTGACTTAAGCAGTACAAGTATTTCAAAACTACTACTTTGACAAAGTGCATGGCTTTTAATCACCATATCATCTTCAGCTGACAGATATTTGGAAATTAAATAGGTGAAAGCTGGTAACTTTAATGTATCACTGAGTTTGTAGCATAATGGGATACACTGAAAGAGTCTGATATCAGTGTAAACTCCTTAAGTATAGGCAGTTTTCAGTCACTTTCCAAACCATATGCATGAAACTTACATTTTCAGTTCTTTATTGCATTTTTGCTGCAACTGCTGGAGTACTGATTATGGCTAAAAATAAAAACTGAAAGTACTATTTTACAGAGCCAGTGTCACAATATAGACCACTCTGGCCACCTGTCAATCTTGAATGAGAGTTTGAAGATATATACTGTTACATGGAAAACCTACTGTTCAATTATGAAAAATAAGAATATTAGATCTTTCCCATTCATTTACACAATTTCAACTATAAATAAGACACACATCAGGTATAGCTCTTATAAGAGCAAATTACAGCAACAAACTTAAAAGTTATTTACTAAGTGACAGTGTATTATATTTCCATTAATTTATATTGTTGCTGTCCTATATTCATTATATCATAACTTTCCTCCACGATACATTTATTTTTAGTTGCTTTTAAATAGCTTATATGCAGATTATTTGTGTTTATACAAACTGGCCAGAATGAACCTACATTCAGTTCAGTAAAAACAAAAGATGGCATGCAACTACACATAATTTGTAGAGCTATCTCTGTAGATACATAGGTTTATGTATGTATGCATATAACTGAATATGAATATGAAGAAAAATTCCCTAAAATGGCCAAAATGACAAGAAATGCTGTTAAAAGTCCAAACAATTCCCCCCAAAATGAAAAGATGACCTTAAACCTAAAAATGTCCAAAAATTACCTATAAAATTTAACATTTCTGTAACCAGCAGCTCATATCCGCGATTTATATATTTAAGAGCATCACATAGGATACAAGGCAAAAAAGATGACATGTCATCAAAATCCAGGCCCTGCTCATAACCATAGAGATGACAAGTACTTGCCACACATTCTTCTTCAGTGACGTCTTAGAGCTGTGGAGACCTAGGCATCCAAAAGTGACTAAGCTTTTGGATAACTGTATATATACTCGTATATATAAAACTGTATATTAAGGCTTTCATTCCACTAAGTGCTTTATAAAATGACCAAGAAACTATGTCGAAGTTCATCCATCACAGATGCTGCAAATACTCATAATTCAGTAGAAATTTGGAAAAATTTTAACAGGCTGCAGAGAAACCAGAAGATTTATATCTCCCAAGGAATTTAATTTATAAATATATGGCTGTGAAAGGAAAAGAAGGATGTTAAAATGTGGTTATACATTTCTACTGTATCTCAATAGTAGAAGCTCACTGTCTAAATGAAAACTAAACTTCAATAAATTTGTATGTTAAATTTTGCTCAGTAATTACAGATCAAGCAAATGTCTTATGAACACCATAAAGTGGATTTCTATGTAATACACTCACAGTTAAAAAATACACCATATGCTCATGTTTATTATTATGCGAGTGCAATGGTACAAACTGCATGCAGTGTTTAAGCTACCAGCCACACACTGCTGACAGAGTTTCATTCTGTAATTCCACATACACATATCTGAGATATTTCAAACTGTTTATAGTTCAAATAAAGGAAACAGATAATCTACTCCTCAGAGTTTAATACAACTAAAGCTGCTAGCAGTTCATAATACATGCATAATATGGTTATAAGAATTATTGCAGTACTCATGATTTTGCATGCATTCATCTTATTTTCAATTACGATTCATTAGTTTTATAAGATTATTACAAATATGCTCATATAAGCAGTAATATATAATTTTTATCTTACAAGACTATAAGCATTAACTCACTGCATACAGCTTCCAACAAAGTGTTGGAAATAAACTACTGTCTCCTTGAATACTTTTACTGACATCATACTATTAGAACAATTTCTCATTGAGATCTGACCATTCATTTAAAGCATACCAATGCAAAATATTAGTACATAAAAACATTTAATTTTGCAGTAGTTCTCCAAATTTATTAAAGAACACAGTTTGCATTAAAACTGCTCTTACATCTGGGCTCATTTAAACATTGTACTTATCACAAGCACAAAAAAAAATTACTGTTAAATCCGGTGTGATTAACATGATAGTGAGAGCAGCTCCACTTCTTTGCATTCTTAATTATTTTGGATATTAGTCCTGTAAGCAGAAACGCAGGATTAGCTCTCTCAATACATCTGATGGTTAAATTCCTGCTGCCCAAGGCCAGCTGTATTTGCTTATTTATTATTTAATGATGCTAGCAGTAGCTCAGACTATATAGCATCAAATAATATGATTATGAAATAATGAATTGTTTTGGAAAGGATGTAGAAGTGTTCTTGGTGTAATTTGAGGTAGTATCCTGGTATTTGCCTGGAAGGATTAAGGAAATCCAATAGAAACCTCAGACAAGATAGTCAATATTTGGGCTCAGATTTGAACCTGTGAACTCCCACATAAGCAGGAGTGCTGTCCACTTAACTGTGATGTTTGGTGGCCAATTAAAACTTGTTTAAAACCACAAAGGAAAACTATTGGTAACTAGAGATTATTCTTGAATACATACTAGTATGATGAAGTCAATGAAATCAAGAAAAAATTTCATAAACCCTAAGAATTGACCTTAGAAATATATTCTATAGTGTGATGTACTTGTGCACCTTTATCATTCAATTAATAAAAAATATTACTGTTTCTCTATTAATGTGACTGGTTACTGTAAAATGTATTTAGGGGACATTTTTATGAACATGAAAGAAAGACCATGCAATGTATCTGGCTTTTCTTAATATGCAGAATGGGAATAGTCTTCACACAAGACATAATTATATATCAAAGTCAGAAATGTCATATGACCCAGTTGGAACAAATTTTCTTAATAAAATACAATGATAATGGAAATAGCACATGATCCACTCACATAAAATTACCCATGCAGAGATTCTGGAAAAATTATGTTTACTGTCATTATAACCAACCATTCTGGCCCTTATATGCAAAGTGTTTAAACAATGCAACTTATCAGATGGAGGGAGGATGCTCCAACTCCATTTCTGTAACTGCTTCCATGCAGATACAAATGATGAAAAATCAGGACACTCACCTTACTGTAGCTCTCACACAAGTGTAAACAATATAAACCAATATTCACTATTATATAGACCACATACATACACATACAGTTCCTAAGTGGTGTAAAACTGGGATGCAATATATGCCACATAAGTATCATTCTGGTAATAATAAAAAAATCCCCAAGATGTATGAGGGTTGTTCAAATGAAATCTGTAAGGCCTATTAAAACATGTGGGAACAGTGTGTGACATGATCAGATGCCAGTGTTCCAGGTGTAAATCCATTCCAACATAATCAACAAGCTGGTGTTTAAAGAACCTAACATTATCTTCAATGTACAGCACTATTCTGACACCCTCTAAGATCTTTGTATTGACAAAACAAGAAAGCATCCCAGCACGCTCATGATGGATGTCAGTATGACAATCCGATATCACTCACACTGCCCAAGACTGCTTTGCTCCATAAGCTGGAAGGTGTTGGGGCATCCCCAACACAGTTTGGACCTGTCACCATGTGACTTCCGTGTGTCCAGGCCCTTTCAAAGCACGATAGGGCCAGAGATTAGGGTCAGATGAAGTCAAGGCCATGGTAGAGTGGTTCCACTACCTGTTGAGGGAGTTTTTTGTGGAGGTGATAGATCAACTGGCATCAATACAATGCCTACGTCAACCACTATGCGAACCATTTTAAATGTCTCTACTTCTTTACCCTGAAAAATCCTGAAATGGGTTTCATTTGAACAAGCCACATATAAAGCATCAGCAACTGAGAAGGCTGTATATTACATATCAGTTATGAATATTAGTAACATACTTTAGAGACATAATTCCAATCCCTATTAACTAGCAACTGATATGTACAAATCTTCCATTGTCTTTTTGGATTAGGCTTTCATTACAATTTTCCATTATCAATCTCTCAAACTCAAATTTACGACTGCAAATACAATTCCACAATAGTTCTTATTCAACCCTCATTAATGGGACGTCACAGAGTTTTAAAACAGCAAGACGATTCCTCTATGGATAAAAAACAGAGCAGTTTTAAAAGGATACTGTTTAAAGTAAAATATAATGTCTCTGATCTGCTTCAGTGCCTAGCTTTGTTAAATGGATGCCACAGAGCAGGTGCCTTTTCTTCTCACCTGAAACCTGAAGCCAGACAAAACATGCCTGTGAAATGTCATATATCTTTTTGATCCTGACAGTGAACAGTATCCAAAAAGCCTACTCCTATAACAAAGAAAGGGAAAAGAAAAAAATACTACAGGAGGACTAATGAAACAAAAATTAATATGGATAATTCCATTTTATGAAGTTAGCACACCCAGCATTTAGAAAGCTTTATGATGGAAGAACTCTAGGTTAATTACAATATCTTCTTTGGTTCTGTGATTACCTCTCTCAATTTCTGTTATGAGATCACAGTGACAGGCAGTGTCAGAACAATGCGAATTAGTGAGAATGACCATACAGTGTAAAATGTTTGATTTAAAATATTCTGCTAGAACAGCCTAAACAAAACTATTACAATTAATTTACAATAGGAGTTCCCACTGTTTAGCTCAAGAAAATATATTAAATTCAAGTGAGAATTACAAGAGAACTTTGTTGTTTATAACATAATTGGGGTTAAGGGTTAAGTGTACCATATTATGTGTGATATTAATGCATGTGACCACTTCTTCCACACTGTATTATTATTTTCGAAGTTGTATAATTAATGTGTACGATGTACATTTTTGTGCCTTTAATACCAATATTTTTATGTTATGTGAAATTTGCAGTTTCACTATAGGGAATATCAAAATTGGTCTTCCAGGATGTGATGGCATGTAGTTTGGTATATGGTACCAGTGGTTCAAAGGAACCTGCTTCCTGCTGGGGTGCAAGATGGAAGCAGCAGATTCCCCTTAAAAGCTGGTACCCATCTACAAAACTATACCATGTGACATCCCAGAAGACAGTAATATTTTTAAACACTTTTACTTTGGCATTCATATTCAAAAACATGGATCAAACAGCAAACTTAGGCATGAGGCACATATTCTGAGCTGTACTTTGGCCAGGCCTCCATTTATGACTTGTTAAGATATTACCTCAAATACACCATATGAATAGCTATAACATTATCCACACTTAAATGGTTGGTCCTCATGTAAGTCAGGTTCCTGCTTCACTGTACACTAAAACCTTTAACTTACATATCTCCATGCACTGAAAATATCTTTATGAAAAATGAAACCAGGAAGAAGGAATATATTTATATTTTATCTCCATGCACCAAATGTTTGTAATAATTAAATGATAGGTACATAATTACCTTGTGACAAATTTATTAATTTATTACAATTTTAGCAGGTACACTACCTTTGGTTGTTTTAGCAACATGCTGGTGGTCTGAGAACTGCATAGTCATAATGTCTCTTCACAGTATTTCATGGAGGACACTTTGTGCTTGAGTTGGATCAGCCATTCAGCTAATTAAGAACTCCTAATACTTCCATACAGCTCATATGGACAAGCACAATAGACCACTGTAGGTCGTGGTGCAAGGGCCAAGAAGGCCTACCCCTCATATATTCATTCATTCAGAGAAGAATATTTAAAAACTTGAAAGTGTTCTCTCAAAGGAAAACCTGTTTTACTGTGAATTTGTTTTTTTATATTGTGACTGAAGTGAATGCACTAAATACATGAAACACTTTACATGTGACCCAAACATGACTGTTGTTTCACCATTCAGTGCATCAAAATGGTCCAGGTGTATAACAGAAATACACAAACCACTCTTATGGCACATAAATAAATACTTAGAATTATCTGAGCTTCATACATTAGTAATTCATCACATCATCACTGTCTTCAATTATGATTGCTTAACCTATTCTGGCTCCAATGTTGATTATTCCACATACCTGTGCCACAGGCTTTATTTAAAATACTCATTTTTTTTCTGAATGATGTAGAAAACGTATTTTGCTACACTTTTCTGGAGTTCTGTACAAATAATTTCTTTTTGATTTTAGCAAATACTGTTGCATCTTGCCACAAGCACTGCTTTATGCCATGCTCACCAAATTTTGTAACATATTAGGGAACATTAGATTGTTCTTCCTCAATTTCTTTCAGAAATGTTTTGCATATCTTCCTTAAGGAATGGTTCATTGTTTCAAAATCTGTGTCAGGTTTTCGTATTGTTCTCTTTAACAACCTCCATGCTTATATCTCATGTTATGATGCTGAGTTTGCAGTGATCGTGTACCATAAATTATGTAGACGGCAGTGATTTTACAATACACATTACCAAAGCAGCAGTGTCTAAACATTACATTGCTCAGAGTAGCTGGGTACTGGCTGCAGAAAATAAGTTCCAATGTTGGAAACATTTTTCTACAATAATAATTTATGCTAGCCTACATACAGCATGTCTACAGTTTATGAAATTTTCAATCACTTCCAGGTCTGTATTTTGAGTCTTAAGTGCATTATACATTTCACAGAAACCTTACATCATCATTTACATGTGTATGCACATAGCCGGCACTGGAACAGCTTAGAAAAAAGGAACCACAACCAGTCCATCAAAAATTCACGTACTATTATGTATTGTAAAGTACAAGTTATGAATTCTAAATGTTAAAAAAATCACAGTTAATGTCATTAAATTAGAATAACTGAATATACTTAAAATAAGATGATGTTAAAGAAAAAAATCTGTCTGCATTTATCCAAGTTCAAAAGTTCGGGTTTCCTGAATTTGTTACATGGAGATCTTATCGTAGCCCCAGAGCATGCTGCCTAATCACAATTCATGCTTCCAACTTAGTATTGTGAGAAATTCAGAACAGGCAAGTGAAATTTCAAGAGAGTAGAGGTGCAGGAGCAGCAACTATCAGCCACAAAATGACTGTGATGTAACCAGTGTGGGTGGGTACAGGTTCCATCCAAACATCATGAAACAAGTGACAGTACACAAATGATTCCATGTACGCATTTTACTGTCAATAACTAATTAATGATTATGTATACAAATGCAGTAAAAGGAACAGGCTTTTACCTGAGTGAGGACCTTCAACAATACCAGGAATAAAAACCAAACAGTTTCACCATTCAGATACAGTCTACATGTTTCTACATTTTCTTAACTCCTTACTCAGGCAATGGTCCATTTCTTCTTATGTATTTGTTTTCACATTTTTTATACATTCAAGTTCTTTTTCCTACTCTTCACAGAATTAATGTTTGGAAATAGGATAGCTTTGTACAGACATATATATAATCTAACTCTATGTACAAAATGTGAAAGACACACTTGTTTATATTATACATGATTTTCTGTTAACCAACTTAGATTGCAAGACAACTGACAAGTTTTATGAACTACTTCTACAACTTTCATTCACATATCACATATAATTTACACAGTATGGACAAATGAAAAATATACATAAAACTCTGACTGGTAAATTGTTAGTGTAACTAGTATCTATCATTTGTCTCTACACCTACCATAACTCATCAGCATGTCTCTATGCACAAATGACTTTCCTGTTCATGAGGTTTACATATTGAGAGGAAAACATCTGTTTCTCTGGAAGAACAGCACAACAGATTTCATGAACAATTTCTCTGATCTGGATATGATCTAATTTATCAGTGAGCTCTCTGTAAATAGGTGAGAATGTACACAACCATCCTTTTCTCTGACCAAACTAATACTTCAAATGACAAATCAAGATGTGCTTTCGCAATTTTTATTTTAACTTCTGTTAAAAAAAAAAAAAAAAACAACAATGAGTCCACAAATCTGATCAGTTTTCATTAGTACAAAATGGTAATTATAATTCAGAACCTGGTGTTAGGTATCTTACAACATTGTAATTGAATTAAAGATTAAGGTTTGTGTTTTGAACATGGCACTCGCTAGTTTAAAAAATGTATACATCTAATACACTTGTGTGCATTTATATCCTACTGTCGCAGGCACTGAATTTGGGTGGGTATCATACTGCCTGGCCTGCATGCTCTTCTCACACCATGTACCATGAGAAACTTCTTGCAGGGTGCCATGCCTGTAAAGCTGTTAAGCTCTTGAATGAGTCCAGTTCAGTTCAATTCAATGCACAATAGAACAGTGAGAAATTTGTTAAGTTTGCTGCATAGCAGATGAGCGAGACAGTCAGTGCAGTCTGTTAATGAGTTAAAAAGTTAGAGTAGTCAGCAAATTTTCAGTTGTTAAGTGCAGTAAAGAGAAGGCAAAAGAAGAGGCCATTGCATTGAGTGATCAGTGGTGTTGTGGTGAAGTAACAAGTGGACAAAGAACCGACCTCAAGAGCATAAAAGGGTTATGGATGGTAGGATGGTGCTCCAAATATCGATAATCATTACAAGACTAAATTAACAACCTAAACTGCCAAAATGTTTTGCACATTTACTTTGTGAGCCATATAATTTAAAGCTGATATATATGCCTTCATATTGAACGCACGAGATCTGCAGAGTACTTATTTTGTAAAAATATGTATCTGTCAAAAGTATGTATTCTGAAAACCTCTTTCTGAAGTATGGATGTTATACATCGGTCCAGTATAGCATGTCCGTAGTGACTTCAATGTTAATATTTCTAGCCACTCCTTATTACATAATATTTATTATCTATCATTTATAATAACATACCTTGAAAATATATAAATATATTACTAAAACATCTATTTAAACAATCCTAATCAGGAAAATAAAAATGGGCTGAACCACAGAATTATGGGCATGGCATGACTTTTATGGCAGTTCCAAACCTGTAGACATTTGTTGAGAGCTATTTTGCACAATTATATTCAGTTTACATGAATCAACATTTAGAAGTGGTGACACAATTATCAGGAATTATTCCAGTAAAATGCAGACATTCATCTTCTTAACATTCCAGGTGTTGCTTCTCAGAAATATTCAAAGATGTCAGATATGAGTGAAGGATTATATTAAACATTAGATGTTAATTTTGAAGATAAATCATCTCTTACAGAAATTATGCACTAAGTACAGACCAACAAATGTACCTGTTTAAATAATAATATATTTTTCTATGTTAAGTTACAAACACACTCCCAAATATTTGCACAAATTGTAACAGAGCACCCAGCTTCTGCATTCCACAGGTTAGGAACTGAATTATTCAAGTATTATATTATATTAAAATTAATTTATGGTATGTTTAACCATCATAAGCCATGCACTCAAGTTACAGGAAGAAATTCTTCTTTAAAGAGATAATACATTATGGTGCATGTCGTCAGAGTTACATAATAATGCTTAGTCTGATGCACATTTACAGTCATAAATTCACTATAAGGCAACCATGTTGTGAGTTAAAATTCCATGTGAATGACATGTAATGAAATGCAACAGAGAAAAGTACAACCTTTAGTAGAATCTGCAGCAGCATTATCATCATATTTCTCCCTTTCAAACATGGTATGCTTACACCTGTGTGTACCATTAACTTCAGTTATCTCTACAATATGGTGTAAAATCATACTCTGTGGTGTCAGACAGAATGATCTTTCAGAGTGAAAAATTGTCAACAATTAGCCCTTTGATTCGTATGTTTTCTTGGCCTTCATGGCATAAGGGTTGTTTCTGTTTCTACACTTTTAAAATTTCAACAAAGATAATCAAATATGATCACAGCACAACATGTAACAGGCTAACAATCACTACCTTCATCGCACAATTCAAAACTCATAACAATTTCACAACTTTCTTTGTAGTAAGATTTGTCCACATTTTCTTGAAGCAGTTAATGTCTGACATTTTGTTTTACTTCAAAAAATATAAAAGATATACAATATACTAGTTCCACCAAATAATAAAGAATGGAAAAAATGGAACTGAACAACTATAAGTATACATGGCTGCTGGCCATAGCAAAATCAAAGAATATGCATGTACATGCACTGTTCAGCACACTTCCATTTACATGTAAAAGTACGCATATACTAATCAAAGGGTTAATGATGATTTTTATATGTAACAATTTAGTTGTGTTTCACCACTCTAGGCCAAATTTACCTCAAATACTGAATTTTATTCAAAATGTATGAAAATTACATAAGACAATTTAGTGCTTTTAATAACAAATCGAAGGATAGGCCTAGCTGCCAATTGCAAGTGCACTTGAAAAAGCATTTCATCGGACATGACATGAGGACCAATATCCACTGAATCGAGCACACTTCACACCAAACTTCGGCTTAAGCTGCTAGAGTATCTACAGGTAGCAAGTGTCTATGGATATTCGAGGTGTAAGCCACTGTTATAATTCCATATCTTGTGCTTCATCCTCACTGAAATCAGACATAGAAGATTCACTGTCTGATGATACACCTTGATTTTCTTGCTCCCGCAGGGCTTCTTCTGTTGCATATTTTCTTACATACTCTGAAAGATTGGTATTATTTAACATACAGTTCTCTAAACATCTGCATTCAGAAATTAGATTTTGGCCTATAGAGACAGTTTAGCAACATATTCATAAAACTGTGACATAATGCGAAATCTGTCAATCTACAGAAACACTTAAAATTAAAAACTATTTGCCATGTAGGACCAAAAGCTGCACTCAGAATGAAAAATGAACAGAGATTCCAGACTACAAAGGCGAATTAATATATTCATAATGGCTGTTCCAACAACATATGATTATTCTTTATTTATTCAAGGAGAATTCTTACTGTTACTTTATTAAACTGGACCTGTGCCAAGAAGCAGCCTCTACTTGTGCTAATACTGTTCAAACATGATTGCCAATTAACATGGTTTACAAAGTCACACATCAAATCCACTATGGATACAAGCATGGAACATGTGCAGCTTTGAAATGTTTATGCTGACTGAAGAAAGATGTGACAGAACACATAAGAAGGAAGCAATCACACAGTACTAACATAACATCTGACTAGAGAATATGAAGAAAATCATGAAGACAGCCAGGCACTGCCTGAATGTCACCTAAATCACTGAACCATTGAACTTATTTAGTTTACCAATTTGGGCATCAAATTAATCAGTTCCATTGCACCAGATATATAACCTTCTTATTAGTTACATGGGGTGTCTTCAGAAAGTTCCCAAAATTTGCCTACAACTGATATCTTTCTCTACTTTGAGCTTATTGAATATCATGCCCTTCAAAACAGTCCCTCCAGCACAGCAATGCACCTTTCCCACTTTTGGAAGCACTATTCAAGGGATGTTTGTGGCATTGTCTTCAAGTCATTCGTCACATTAGTGATATGTCTTCCATTGTCTGAAATCTTCTTCCTTTATGGCTAATTTTGAGCTTAGGGAAAAGAAAAAAAGTTGGGAGGGAAGATGTCAGGTGAATGGGGGGGATGTGGAAGGGTAGGAATTGACTGTTTTGCTAAGAATTGTCTAACTGACAATAGTGTGTGAGTAGGTGCATTATCATGGTGGTGCCAGCTTCCCACAGTCCACAAATCAAGTCACTTTCTTAGTACCCCATCCCACAGACATCTCAGAACCACCATGTAAAAATTCTGAATCGCTGACCTTCAGGAGCAAATTCATAATGCACAATGCCTTGATATTATATAGATATAAAAAAACCAGCAGCACAGCTTTCACTTGCGAGTGCACCTGTCGTGCTTTCTTGGAGTGAGACAAAGCATGCATCAACGCCACAAGCTTCATGCAACACGTTGTGGGTTTCTGCATCTGCTTTCCTTACTTTGAAACAGAATTTAACACAAATTATTTGCTTCTTAACCAACTCCATACTTATCACGAGAAGACAATGACACACTCGATAACAGAACTGGTTATAAAAACTACACAGGATGCTCGAACTACTTGGAACAAAATGGCTTGTGTAACTAATGGTAAAGTTGCAACGCCATTCAAACGATACCTAATGCAACTGATGCAATGATGATTTAGAGACAGATTTTGGGAATGCTTTGAACATACCATGTACATAAGTAATCATGTTGAATTATTTTTAATACTAATATTTTACACTTTTAACAGAAAAACAAACATTTTTATATATTACAATTTATGAGATGAATTGTGCTCATTTAGTATGTCCCAAAAGCACTTAAAAATATGGTAACTGCTAACTATTTACATTCAGTTGCAACTTATGACACAGCTGAGAAAAGACTGCAGAGCACACATAAATGTCCAGATGTGATATACATACATATTATAATAGGTATATCACATCTGGACGTCATCATTACCTTGCACTTTCTTCTTGTATTCTTCCGGCTTATGTAAGTACATGGCAGCAGCATCTCCATTGAGAGGATCAATAGGATTTGGATACGTTAACAACTGGGGCAGGAACGACTCAAATATATTAGAAAGATCTAAAAAGAGAAAACAGAAAACTTATGTCATACCGGCTTGTAAAATATATATTGCAATGCTATTAGGCGGTTTCTGAAGTTGAACAGTAACTAAAGGTTTAATTAATAGTGAATCTTAAGATCAGAATCTCATATACACTAGCTACATAATACCTACAGAGATGTGTGTAAAAAAAAATCCTTCAACTGGAAGGAAAAGACTGACATTTTTGTGCACTGAACCATATATTAGACCTCACATAAAGATTACACTGTAGATGGAAGGGAAGGGTGATTGCTGTTCCAAACACATAATAAATTACTCAAGATGAAGACAAAGCAAAGAATATAAGAAAATGGTAAAGTTGTCTTTGTGCTTAACTAATTCAGCACTACACCATGAAGGTGTACTGGGGGAGTGGATCTATAGATCCACATTTTCTTTGCCTCAGCACTAGCTGAAGGTGAGTGATCAGCTTCATGCCTCAGCTGCTTTACCCCTGGGACACACTGGATAGGAGGCTGGGTGGGCCCCAAAGCCAGTCTGAATGACGTGGAGAAGAGAAATTTCTTGATCCTACCAGGACTTGAACTCCGACCCTTCAGTCCTCCAGCCGACAGTCAGTCACTATACAGACTACCCTATCCCAGCTTCCAGACAAAGCAAACAAAACCATTCTTAAATAAATAGCATGTTTTTCAAACTGGCCTGTTGAGTTGGACACAAGGAGAAGTATGGCAAGATGTAGCAAGGCAGCAACTGCAGCTGCAATATAGAAGGGGAGGAGGATAATGCAATCCAAATAAGGCCTTAGTCAACCTACACACATCCTACGATCCTTATTTCAATCCAGTGCACATTCTATTGACCATGCCCAGGTGTAAAAATGTGGACAGTTAAGACTACTGAAGTTATGTATGATTTGAGGTTCTCACGACGTCATAACGGTGGTTATGAAGATTTCTATCTTTTGGGATATAGTACTGTGGACCAGATGACTTGGTGTTATATCCCAGAAGACAGAACTCTTAATAATGAAATTATTTCCCTTTATTATAAAGAAGTAAATGTTCATTAACTTACCATACAAAGCAGTCCAAGCTTGGTTGATAACATCTAAGCACACAGTACCAGAGACTTCGTCTATGTTTGGATGATATACCTTATTCATGAATCCAATAGAAGGTGACTTGAAGGGATAATGTTCTGGTAAATGAACTCTGACTTTCCAAATCCCACCTTCATATGGGGCTGAAATTTTTAAAATTATGCATACTTCTTTTTCAAATAATGAATTTATATTCTAGAATTCTTAACATGTCATCTTCTCATGCTGTACAAGATAAATTCAATAGTATGCTTCTCATATGTATACAAATTATTGTGAGAAGTATCACTGTTAGGTTCAATGAAGAGATCTGTCTTAATAACTGTCCAATTATAAATTACTGTCATGTAATGGTCATTCAAGATCCACAAAATTTATCATTCATTTTCAAACCTGAGAATGTAAACCAATTTTTAAGAGTTGTAACAATGGTCTATTGTATATAGTTTCATGATATTTCTGGGCTTTGTCCATCATCTAGCATTCCGAAAAGGATATTGTGGCAGATGTAGCGGTTGAAGAATGGACAACGGGAAGAAAAGAAACACCGAGCCAGACAAAAAGAAGTTGCAAGTATAGCCTCATAAGGAAAGGACCAGTGATGCACTGTTAGGCTATTCGGGACGAACAGCCTTAAGAAGGGAGCAGTGTGACATACCAAACCATTGTTGGGCAACGGGATGTAGAACGAGTTACCATGAAGACAGACTCTTGATAAACAGTCGGTTGCCAAGTTACACAACAGTAAGGAAAGTGGTGTTTCTCCGTGACGTGCTGAGCCGGTTGCTACACAGCAATAAACAACTCTCGGCAGTGTTGTCAAGCAACGCCTCTGTAAACATGGTGTCACGCAACAGTGAAGCAAGCTGCATTTTCTGCTGTCCGACTGAGGGTTTATAAGAGAGACTGGTAACGTGACTCTAAGGAGTCACATATACACTACAAGTTGTAAGAGTCATGGTGGAGGTATTCGACCATGACCCTTAAAGAAAGCAGTCTTCTGGGATTTGGCACCGTGTATATGTGGTGTTAAGTGACGTTTCGGAGGAACGTATTGCCTCCATCTTCAGGGTAGAAGGAAAAATATAAGAAATCCACAAGAGAAGAGACCGTGAGAACCGGTAAAAGCAGACTGGTGTTGGAAATATAAACAGCTATGTGACAGCAGAGAAGGAAGGGGGGAAGGGCAAGTATACAAGTGAAATCAGTAGTGTGGGGGGGGAAGAAGCTGGGGCAAGCAGGGTTTTTGTGTTGGGGGAGAGAAAGGCAAGGTTAAAGGCTGGGCACTAACCCTTAAGCTGGGGGGG